ACCTGTATTTACAAATAGTTTTAAATATCTTTATAGTTTATGCAGGTAAATAATAGCCTCTCTGAATATTGCTGTGTTTATATTAGTGTGTTTATCAAATCATGTTTTTATTTCCATTCTTTGCGTTCTTTGCAATGTGTAGTTAACTGTGACCATCATAAGATGGAGTAGTATTAATAACAGGAGCATAATAGTAATAATAGTAGTGGTAATTAAAATAGCCACCATTAATGAAGTGGGTTATTGAATTTATATAATCTCATTCACTCTTTAGAACATTCTTGTGAGGAGATCTTATTTACTCTGCTAAATGTATTGGGAAACCAGGACTCAGAAGATAACTTGCTGATGGTCACACAATTGGTTATGGTGGAGTTAGTATTTAATTACATGCCTGTCTTCAAAAGCCTTAGTCCTTCCTCTCCTTCCCCATGCTATGCTGGATTCCAAGAAAAAATTTAGCTGAGCATTATGTCATGATTTTTTGATGTATTCAGTAAATAATAATTGTGTGTCTACTGATTTACCAGGCATTATTATATCTTCCATTTGTACTTAAGCAGTGCATGTTATTTCAATGTTAAGCCCCCATAATGTCCATTATTATTAATATAAAAGACCAAGTCCTAGTGTTTGAATTCTCCTTTCTTTAAAATAATGTGTTTGGAGTACTCAGTCTTGCTTGCTATATAATATTTTGGTATTTTGGGTCATCTAATAAGATCTGGATTCTAGCATATCTTCTGACAATTACTATTATTTACCTATGTAATTCTTAATATTATTATACAGTTATCTTACTGTGATGACTTTGCACGTGGAAAAATATTGAAGTAACTAAATTTTTTTGGCTAATTTTAGTTAGAGAATGAAGTATCTGGTAAAATGATGCCGCCAATATACAATATGCCCATTTAAAAATATTAGTTTAATTGCTTATAAACCCATTGCTTTGTGAGGTGACTGTATAAGGATGTAAGGCTAAAGCCATCCCTGACTAAAGCAAGTTTGCAATCTTTTTTTTTTTCTTTTCTTTCGCTTTTAAGGTCTTCTCTGTTTTCTGAACCTTATAAAATTTCATGATGATAAGTCTTGATATGGATTTTTTTTTCTTCACTGTGCTTGGTATTTATTGGATGAGCCCTTTACACACACATGAACTTCAAGTGTGTGTGTGTGTGTGTGTGTTCCTCATTTTCTCTCTCCTTTCTAGAACTTTCGTTGCAATAATGGATTTGCTAGATTGATCCTGTGTAATGCTCCTGTTTTTTTCCTCTCATGTTTCTTTCATCCTCTGAAAAATATCTGGAAAATTGTCTTAATTTTATTTTCTAGTTTCTTTGTTGAAGTATTTACTTTTGACCTCTTAAGGGATATTTATTCACTGAATATCCCTTTCACTGGACCCTACTCTTATTTCATGACTACAGTATTTTCCCTCAGCTCTGAAGATATTTGTATTTCTTTGGATGATTTTTTTTTTTTTTTGTATCTGAGAATAGCTTTAAAGTTACTTTTTCCCCATACTTTGTTTTTTCATCTCTTGTTCATGTTAGAAGCTTTCTGTGTATGTTTGATTAACTTAATCTCTGATGACTTTTTTTCTCTTTATAAGAGGGAAACTCTAAAGTGATGATGATGATTGGAAGGGCTTTGTGCAAATGGCAAGAATTTTTTTTTTTAGGATTTATTTATTTATGCATACAAACACTGGGGTATAGACCAGAGGTGCCAGGGGTGGGGTGGGTGAGAGGATACACCAGAGACAGAGTGGGGAACAGACTGCTGTTCTAAGGGGAGCAGCGGGCATGACAGGAGAGGTCTGCTGCACCATGTGGGTCAGCTCCTTGGCCAGGGATGGAACTTAGTGCTGCAGTAGTGACGGATAGCTTCATAGTGCTGACGCTTAACCCCTTGTGCCACCAGGGAGGCCCCAGAATGCCCCTTCTTTTTATGTGTGACTCCCATATTTTAGTATGTATTTTTCACCCCATTCTTTAATTTCCTGTTTTGATTACAATGCTCTACATGTCTGACTGTCAGTGTTACTATATCTGAATAGTTGTCTTGGGTTAAGGTGGGGCATTGACTTTTCAGTGTGCATATTTTCTTATTTTTTTTTTTAAAGGACTACACCCTTCCCTCCCTTCTCCTAATCTTTCTCACAAATGGTAGTTGGTGTCTCAGATAATGTTGGCTTAACTCATCCTGCTTGAGGTTGAGTGTTGGTCTAATTGTAAGGAATGAGGTAGGGAATGTAGACATCAGCTTTTATGAAGACTTAAGCCAGTTTTTCTATTTTCCCATTGCTATAGCATCCTGCTGTGAATGGGCCCATGTTACTTTTTAGGTTCTCCAGATTTATGCCATTAGAATAGGCCTGCTTCTTATTCACCCGTTTCCTCCCTCCTTATGTGCTTAGTATGGTCTTTCTCTATTTTGTTTAATGAACTACCATGTATCAATAACATTTCCATCTTCCAAAATATTATTGATTTCTTTGTTGACATCTATTCTCCTTGACCTTGTGGGTGTATGCCTTAGAAATCCTTTCAATTTTGTTGTTGTAGTTGTTGTTATGAAGGGCATAGAGATAAAAATGTTGATTCTGTGATCTCCATATATTATTAGGAACCTTTTGGCTTTCTTTTTTTCTTTTGTATGCTGCTTTTACTCTGCATCAATTCTGCTGGCTAAGATTTTTGAATGATTATCTCCTGACTTTCCTTGTTAGCTGTTTTAAAGTAATGAATAATTTTCTCACTCATCTAAAGGAAATTTTGTTACTTCTTTAAAATTTACCAGTGAAACACACACTCCATATAATATCCAAGATTATAATGGCATATAAAGAAAAACAAGTTCCTCTTCCCTCAATTATGTGATTCTAAGGAAAGCTTTGGTATGTTTCCTCACATACCGTTTTTTATGTTCATATAATTATATGTATTTTGTAATTGGTAAAATATACATGTGCCAACTGGAGAGCAAGAGAAAATTGTATTTCTTGCATATTAGAGTTCTGTAATGTTCTACCACTTGAAAGAAAAAGATAATCTAGTAGAAAAAGGGACCAAGGATGAACATCTGTCTTAATGGAATCTGTCTAAAAATTACCCTAAAAACAAGTCACAGAAGGCAAATCACAGAAGAGGGATTAGAAGTGATCAGCAAAAAGAAGTCAAGATACTCTATTTCATTGGTAATCAGAGGAATGCAGATAGAACTAGCAATGTGACTTCCCCTCTCAATTTGGCAAAGTTTAAAATAGCAAGCTCTGCTGATCATGTGAAAATACTGGCTCTTCTGTTGCTGGTGGAAGTTGCTACCCTCTTTCAGGTTATAGCCTGCTACTATCAAATTTGAAATGGGTTTTCCTTTGATAAACTTTCCTTAAGAATCTGTGCTATGGGAACAAAAGTATCAGTTCTTCAGAATGTTTGTGCAAGACTGTTCAGGGCAACATTTATAGGTAATGGCAAGAAACAGACAAACTGACTAAATACTAAACCCACTTAAATTTAAGACCATCTCTTTGGAGATGATTAAATTATGCCATTTCCAAGGTATGGTATACTGTACAACTATTAAAAAGAATGAACTAGGGCCTCCCCGGTGGCGCAGCGGTTGAGCGCTGGGTTGCGAAGCTGCCTGCAGCCTCTGCAGCCGGTTCGATCCCCGGCTGCTCCCCGGCCACCAGAGGAGGGTCCCACATGGCGCGCAGACCTCTCCTGCCGCCCGCTGCTCCCCTCAGCAGTGTGCTTCGGTCCTTCTGCCTGCTCTGCTCCCCGCTCTGGCTCTGGTGGGTTCTCTCGCCCTCCTGCGCTTCTGACTGTGCCCAGTGCATGTATCAAACAAACAAACAATAAATAAATAAATAAGACATGCCTCTAGAAAATTTAAAAAAAAAAAAAAAAAAAAAAAGAATGAACTAAGTAAATTTTGTTATTGCCATCTATATAGTATATGGTTCTATTTTTGTTAAGGTAGGTAGAGGGTGATTCCCATATAGAGTTTTGTGAAATGTCCATTTTTCAACATCAAACATATGTATAAACATCTGGTAAAACCTGGATAGAAATTACTGTCCAGAAAAACTTTACCAGTCTAAATAAGTAAACTTTACCAGTCCAATCAGTAATTGGAGGGTTTCCTGGTGACTGGCACTTGAGGTTGCATGGATAGTTGTTTATTATGATTTATTTTAAACTTATTACAATATAAAGTTAATATCCTAATCTGGGTCCTTGATTTTCCATTCACTTAATCCATTAGACTGCTTAATTGTTTTCCAGGCATTATTTTGTTATTGATAAATTTCTACTCCTTTTGACACCTCTAGTAGGTAAATAAATATCTGTGCGATAAGAGGTGCAGGGAAAAGGAAGAAATTGGTTCTGTCATTTTTTTGTGCTGTCATGTTATCTTTCTAGACAAATTTGAGTTGAGTTACAAACATACATCACCATGAATAAAGAAAAAATTGTCAGATATAAAGCATGGAAAAATAATGGCTTAGTAGGAGGATTAAATAATGGTTTATCAGGGGAAAATTTTGTCTGTAGAGATTGTCTGTAGAGATTCATGCTCATGTTCATGCACAACTATTAAAAGCACCTGGCATCCCTAGATGTAGTGCTTTCCAAGGTGGCATTCAGTCAGCTGCAAGCCACATTGTGATTATTTTAATAATACTAATTGAAGCATAGTAGGTTGTTGTAAAGTCTCTCCTCTTTTTTTTTTTTTTAAAGATTTATTTATTTATACAAAAGCCGGGGTACAGGCCAGATGCGCGGGAGGGTGAGAGGATTCACCAAAGACAGAGTGAGGAACAGAACAGGCAGACAGATGAAATACATCGCTGAGGGGAGCAGCGGGTGAGACAGGAGAGGTCTGCCGGGCCATGTGGGACCCTCCTCTGCTGCGCCACCAGGGGAGGCCCAGCTTCTGACTTCTTTAAATTAATTTATTTATTCTTGTTCTTGTACTTGTTCTTCTAGGTGGATTCTCCACGGTTTTCCTGGTGCGTACTCATGGTGGAATCCGCCATGCATTAAAGCGAATGTATGTCAATAACATGCCAGACCTCAACATTTGCAAAAGGGAAATTACAATTATGGTAAGTGAAAGTAATTTCATTAAAAAAATTTTTTTTTGACATTTTCTTTTGGTTTTGCACAATAACATTCACCAGCTTTTAGATATGCCATTTACTGGTTAATTAACATCTGGGAAATCTTTGAAGAATATTAAATTAACTTGGAAGTTTATCTGGGAATTTGTAGTGCATTCCTTATAGCCATATTTAGGGTTAAGTACAGCAAGCACGTTCCTTTCCTTTCCTCCCTTCCTTACTGTCATTTCAGTGGGAAAGTTACTCTGGTTTCTTTTTTCTTTGTTGAAATATATTTTTATTATGGTACATTTTGAGTAGAAAAATTTAGAGAACTATATAATGAATGGCAGTTTATCCATTACCCAACTTGAAAATCTCAAAGCTTTCCAAGTATAGTTGAATCCACCTGTGTATTCTTTACCAAGTGCACCACTATATAGTTGTCATCCAAAAAGAAACCCCTGTCCAGAATTTGGTGTTTACTATTCTCATGCACATTTTTTTTAAAGATTTATTTTCATTTATTTATGCATACAAGAACTGGGCAAAGGTGAGGAGGGTGAGAGGATTCACCAGAGACAGAGGGAGGAGCAAAATGGGCAGATCTACTGAAATACATTGCTGAGGGGAGCATCGAGCGAGACAGGAGAGATCTGCTGCACCATGTGGGTTAGCTCCTAGGCTGGGTATTGAACTCATGCTACAGTGGCTGGTGATAGCTTTCTAGCGCTGATACTTTAAACCCTGCACCACCAGGGAGGCACCTCTCATGCAATAAATTCACTACATGTGTTTGTATCTACAAAAAAAAATTAGTTTTGATTTTCATTTTTATTTATATCCCCCCCCAACACTCACTGTTCTTTTTTTCCCCCTCCCTTTTCCCTTTCCCTTTTTACCTCAGAGTCCTCAAAGTGCTGTTGATATCCGCTGTTGTTTGAAAGTATTTTGTTATTCAATTGTCTGCTGTGTCAATATCCAGTATTTTTAACATCCCAATTTAATTTGCTAAATATAATTCTCTCAAAATCCTTCCATTTTGTTGAAAATGGCTGCATTTCATCTTCCCTTAAGACTGAATAGTATCCCATAATGTGGATATACCACATCTTCCCCATCCTGTCATCTATGAATATCTGTTGCTGGACATTGTTGCAGGAGTCTTATGTCTAAATCTTCAATCCATTTGGAGTTTATTTTTGTGTATGGAGTTATTGAGTGATCCAACTTCATTCTTTAACATGTGGTTTTCCAATTTTTCCCAGCACCATTTATTTGAAAGAGACTGTCCTTTCTCTGTTATGGTCATACCTGTTCTATCATTGACTATGTACTGACATAAATGTGGATTTACTTCTGGGCTTTCAATTCTGTTTTGTTGATCCATGTATTTTTATGTCACTACCATATTGTTTTTAGCTAAATCTTTTAGCTGTTCCTTTATAGTGAAGTTTGAAATCAGGTACTTTTTTTTCTAAGGGTTGCTTTTACATATAGTAGTTCAGAGTAATCTTTATGATCCTTTGTAATTCTACTTTATCGGTAGTGATTTTTCCTTTTCATTTGTGATTCTGTTTATTCATGTTTCTATCTTTGTTAACTGAGATAGAGATTTGTCTGTTTACTTTTTTAGAACCAACTCTCAGTTTCTTTTTTTAAATATAGTCTTTTTGATTTCTGTGTCATCTATTTCTGCTCTTATTTTTAGTGTTCTCTTCTAATAATCTAGGTCTTGTTTGCTCCTTTTTTTGTGAATTTATGTGTAGTATTAAGTTGTTCGTATGGGATTTTTGTTGCTTCTTACTGTGGGACTGTATCGTAATTATGTCCCTCTTTAGACTTTTGCGGATACCATAGATTCTGGTAGCTTGTACCATTTGTCTCGAGGTATTTTCTGTTTTTCTTTTCAATTCCTTGGTCTTATCCTGTACCTTTAAAAGCTTATTTATTTCTTGGGCCTCCCCTGGTGGTGCAGCAATTGAGTGCTGCTCTGCAGCGATGGTTCAATCCCCGGCCGCTGTGGCACGCAGACCTCTCCTGCCGCGCCCGCTGCTCCCCTCAGCAGTGTATTTTGTCAGTCTGCCTGTTCTGTTCCCCGCTCTGGCTCTGGTGAATCCTCTCACCCTCCTGTGCTTCTGACTATACCCAGTGCTTGTATAAATAAATAAATAAATAAATAAATAAATAAATAAATAAAGCTTAAAAAAAAAAGCTTATTCATTTTTAACTTTTTGGCATTATAGTCAGAGTACTTTATATAATTTGGTCTTTGTAGTTTTATTGATAATTGGTCTATTCTTGAAAATGTTCCATATGTATTGAAAAAATGTGTTTATGCGGTAGTTTTTGGGTGTAATATTCTGTAGATGTCTATTGACTAAGTTGGTCAACTTCTCATTTCAGGCTGTTGTTTACTTATTTCTTCTATGTCTTGTTGAGCTGTCTGTTATTTTAAGTGGGTTCTTAAAATCTTGTAGTGTTACTATGTTATTGTCAATATCTCTGTAGTTCTGTTATTGTTTTGTGTATCTTCCATGCTCATCGTTTGGTGCATGTATATTTAAGTGTTATTTTTTGTTGTATTTAAGAGTATTATTATCTGATGGTATTATAGTATAGCTTTTCCTGATGTTTCTTTTTTTGGTTGTCATTGACTTGTATAACTGTCTTCCAGTCTTTAAGTCTGTGCTTATCTTTGTTGGTAAGATGGGCCTGCTTGAAGGCAGCAGAAAGTTGAACTTTTATTTGAATTCCATGAAGACACTCTACACTTTTTGATTGGTGAATTTGGGCCCTTTTTATGTGAAAGGTGATTATTGAGTCATAAGTGCTCTTTTTTTTTGGTTTGACTTGTCTTACTTTTTGAGATCTTTTATGTTTGTTTTCTGTTTTCATTGTCTTGTGTGTTACTCTCATTAGTTTTCATTTAAGGTTTCTGCTGAGGTTCATACATGATGGTTCATTATGTGACTCGATAGTTTCTGACTCATTCTGTTGGGCCATATTGTTATTCTCCTCCTCTTCCATGTTAAATCACTTAGGTGTCTGTTGCTTCTATATTCATTGTTATATTGCTTTATAAAAACCCCTTTAAGACTACCTGTGTGTGTGGCTTGGTTCTGATAAACTCTTTTTGCTTTTGTTTTTCAGTGAGGCCCCTTTTCTTCTGTTTTGAATGTTAATGTCAGGATAAAGGATTCTGGACTAGAACTCTTTTTATATTTAATTACTTGAATTAAAATTTTAAAATTAAAATATTTAATTAAATATTTTCATCCAATCCCTTTGTGCTTATAATGTTTTTACTTAAAATTCCACTGGTGATCTAATTGGTATCCCCATATAGGTTACCCTTTGTTTTCTTGATGCTTTTAGTATTCTATTCTTGTTATTTGTTTTCAACAGCTTTATTATAATGTGTCTTGGTGTCTGTCTGATATTATTTTGTTTGGAACTCTTTTATCTCTTGGAGCATGACATTTGATTCATTTTCCAGATTGAGATGGTTTTCACAATTATTTCTTTTTTTTTTTTTAAAGATTTTTTTTTTTTAATAGAGGCATGTTTTTCTTTATTTATTTGTTTGCTTGTTTGTTTTTGTTTATACATGCACTGGGTACAGTCAGAAGCGCGGGAGGGTGAGAGAATTCACCAGAGCCAGAGCGAGGGGCAGAACAGGCAGAAGGACCGAAGTACACTGCTGAGGGGAGCAGCGGGCGGCAGGAGAGGTCTGCGCGCCATGTGGGACCCTCCTCAGGTGGCCGGGGAGCAGCCGGGGATTGAACCGGCACCGCAGAGGCCGCGGGCAGCTTCGCAACCCAGCGCTCTACCGCTGCGCCACCGGGGAGGCCCTTCACAATTATTTCTTTAAATAAATTTTCTATGCCTTTTTCTTCTCCTTTGGGAACACCATATTATGGATGTTATTTTTCCTTAGGTGTCTCACACTATTTTCATTTTTTTGAATTCTTTTCTCTCAGTGTTGTTCTATTTGTGTGTTCTCTGACGTGGTGCTTTTGAGCTCATTAGTTCCCTTCATTGCTTCTATTTGTCTGCTGTTGAGGCACACAATTGTATTTTTTAATTAGATTATATTATTCTTTAGCTCCTTTATTTCTGATTGTGGCTGCTTCATATTTGTTTTACTCTGTTGCTGTTTTCTATTATTCATTTTTTTTTTTTGAGCCTCATAAGTATTGTTAGACCTGCTAACTTGAACTCTTCTTCAGTCTATTTTTGCAGTTCTGAGTTGAGACAGTCACAGAGTTCTTTGCTCCAGCATTTGTAGTATGTTCTCTTCATTTTTAGTTTCTACGGGTTGTAGTGGGAGTAAACTTCATGACTGTTGCCTTTGCACCTGCTAAAGTGATTGTAGAACTGGCACCGCTGAGGATCGTACATAATGAGAGCACTGAGACCGTAGGACACCAGAGGATCATCTCCAGCACTGTGGGCACTAGAGCTGTGGATTGGGGGTCCACAGTGGTCTCTTACAGGCCAGCTCCTTGGTCTGAGTATAATCTTGTGTTAGTTTTCACCTGTAAGCTATTTTTTTTAAATTTATTTTTATTTATTTATGTGTATAAGAACTGGAGTGTAGGTCAGAGGTGCAGGGGGTGAAGGGATTCACCAGAGACAGAGTGGGGAGCAGAACAGGCAGATCTGAAATACACTGCTGAGGGAACAGCAGGCAAGTCAGGAGAGGTCTGCTGTGCCATACTTGGGTTAGCTCCCTGGCCGGAGATGGAATGCATCCCGCAGGGGCTGGTGATAGCTTGACAATGCTGAGACTAACTCCTGTGCCACCCAGGGAGGCCCTTTAGGCTATTTTTGAGCACTGGATGCATCACTGGCGACTTTTGTACTTGACATGGGGTCACGTGCCAGGAGTTGTTCTCTTTTCTGTTCAAGCACAGAGCCGTATCTCAGGAGGTTTATTCCTGTTGTTTTAGAGGTACAAAAACTCTGGTTTATGCAAGTGTTCATTGGTTGTATACTTTAGCCCTGCAGTGGGCAGTGATAGGTGTTTTGATTATCCCAGCCTCGTCTTTGAGTAGTAACCTTGTCTTTGAGGAGACACAGGTGATCCCACTTTCTTCTTTCAGGTTTCAGTTTTATGTTGAGAAACTCAGGTTTAAGCCAGTCATCCTTGCTCATTCCCTCATCCTCTGTCCTGGGTACTCACTCAGCATGCCCCTGATCTAATGCACTGCCAGGTTTCAAGAGTACATGATGATGGTGTGTGCTTCTGAGTTATCAACTGTAGGGGCTTCTGCACATTGCTCCTCCCTTGCTTTTTCTTTCCCCTTTTCACTGGACTGTCTTGGTCCTTTGTTTTTCCTTTGGGGGATTTTGGCTTTGTTCTGCTCCAAACTAATGAATATGTGAGGGAGGCGAACTCATAGTCTTTGCTGCCATCTCGCCCAACTTCCCTGCTTTTAATTTTTGAAATCTTGGTTATAAATTTTTTTTTTTGGGATGTTCTTTGCAAAGGAAATATTCATTATTAGGGAAATAAAAAAATACGTTAGTAGATAATTAAAGAAAATTTCAGTATTCAGATGGGTAGATCGAACAGTTAAAATAAATTACAAAATGCAATTTTTCTCTTTTTCTTTGGCTGCTTGTTCTCAGTGCTCTGGTTGACTTCTTATTTGCATTTGCCCCCTTGCCCCCTTCTCTCCTAATTCTCCTCAGTTCTCCGCTTTTCTTCTGTTGTCTTACTCTTTGTTCTCATCTCCTATTTAGCAAGTGCTAGTATACATTAGTTGAAATTTTTGTTTGCGCAACACTCAAATCCTCTGCTTTAGAAAAAGACATTTTAGGGGCTGACTAGGTCTTTAGCACAGTGGTTTTTTTGGTGATCCATTTCCTATTGTGAATATTTATAAATGATTTACCTATTTAGCTGTCATTAGCCTATATCTCAAATTATAGTTCATAGCTATTAACAAGCTAGTCTTGTTAATAATGGTAGGTGTATATTCATTTTCAAAAATTAAAGTTTTCCCTTTTTTTGAATTGAAGTGACAGTGCATTATAATAAGTTTCAGGTGTACATCTTTGAAAATCAACATGTATTTACACTATATTAGGTTCACCACTAGTAAATTCATTTTAAGTAGTGTTCTTGATAATTGTGTTTTAATTTCTGTAGACTTAATTAGACCATTATTATTATTATTATTATTTTTCAAAGATTTTTTTTTTTATTTATACAAGAACTGGGGTACAGGCCAGAGGTGAGGGTGAGAGGATTCACCAGAGACAGAGTGGGGAGCAGAGCAGGCAGACGGACTGAAGATACTGCTGAGGGGAGCAGCGGGCGAGACAGGAGAGGTCTCCTGCACCATATGGGAATCTCCCTGGCCAGCTGGGAATCAAACCCACGCTGCAGAGGCTGAGGACAGCTTCACAGCGCTGCGCTCGACCCACTGTGCCACCAGGGAGGCCCAGACCATCATTATTTTTAACATCATTATATGCTGATGACTCATGTACTAGGAGCAACGTGTCAAATTTGCTATTTTCTTCCTTTTTAGAATTATCTTTACTTTTTAGTTTCTTTACAGAAATCCTTTTTAGTAACCTAATAGTTTCATGCATTCATAAATCCACCTAACTAGTTGCAAATAAATGCAATATGTTTCAGGAAAAGCAAATGAGAGTATTATTGTTAGTTCACAGGTTTTAGAATTTTTTTTTTTTCAGATGAAAGTAAATTGGAAATGAAAGTTCCAAAATTTTATTCTTGTGTCCCAAAGGACTATCTTTTATTTATATATTTATTTTTATTTTTAAATTTATTTTTTGAATTGTTGTTAATTTTTGGACAGTGTTTGATTTCTCCTCTCAGGTGTAGTCCCTGTAGGTCTTTACCACTTAAGCATTCGTGACCACACCATAGTCTCTTGTGCTTTTCCCTCTCCCTCTCCCTTCCCTTCTCTATGCCTCAGGTCTATGGTCTGCTTGCAAATTTTATCTTTTTTCTGACCTTTTGTTCAGTTTCTCTATTCCACATGTATGTGAAACCATTTTTTTCCCTTCTGACTTATTTCACTTCGCATCATTCCTTCCAGTTCTAATCATGTTTCTGCAAGTGGCATGCGTTTATCTTTTTTGATCTCTGAGTAGTAGTACATTGTATACACATACCACCTCTTATTGATGTATTCATTTGTTTTGGGGCATTTAGGTTGTTTGCATATCGTAGTTATTGTAAATAGTACTGCAATAAATATAGGACTGCAGGTTTCCCAAAGGACTGTCTTTTACAATCTCTTTTGAAGACTTACTTTTGTGTCAACAATCTCTTTCTTCCTGATTTAATTAAAATATTCACTGTAATACTTCCTTGTTTGAAAATGACGGTTGCATACAAGTGAACTTTCCACTGAAATTGTAAAAACCTTTTTGAAAAATGTCAGATTTCAATCTTATGCCTAATTTTACTTTTTTGAAATTGAACTGTAGTAATTAAAGACTTATTGCTAACGATAGAGCTTTCCAATGTATATTTTCCAATTAAATTTTTTTTTTCTTACAGAAAGAGCTTTCTGGTCACAAAAATATCGTGAGTTATTTGGATTGTGCTGTTAATTCAATTAGTGATAATGTATGGGAAGTACTTATCTTAATGGAATATTGTCGAGGTAAGTATATTTCTGTCTTTGCATTATATTAAAAATTGCTTTTAAAAATGGGTATCTTAGGTTCTCTCTGGGAAGCTGTCATCTTATTTAGACATTTATTGCAGTCTTATCTTTAATAATCTGTTTAATTAAAAATCCTGTTTAAAAATACTTAAAATCTAGTAATAGTTGCTGCAGTGATGATATATGAACATGAAAATGGAGAATTAGAAAAAAACTATTTGGTTTAAAACAACAACTCTGCAAGTAAAGAGAAGTTGCATTGCATGTTCCCTATACAATTTTTTATAATCCAACCAAGAAGAGCATAATGTCAATATTAGTGCTGTAAAATATTTCCCCATATCTTTACAATGTTATCATTTAATATTGATAACTTTTATTAAAAAAAAAGTATGTGGTGTGGTTTTTTTCAAGGAAGTATTGACTTATATAGTATGCCTCAATAATGATGATAATTTTAACAAATATTGGAAAATTTTTTACTTTAATATGTGTGTCAGTAATTAATTCATTTCCTAGGAACTTCCTTTTTTTTTTTTTAATTTGTACTGTTTCTGGATATTTGGTTTCTCAAGAGCCCTTGTTTATATTTAGATTCTTTTAAGGCACTTATAATTGTTAATTATTATACTAGGAGCTCTTATAATTTCTTGAAGATTGGAAGAGGAAGAGGAGGGGGAATGGTTGTAGTGATGGACAAAATATTGTCTCATATAGTCTGTAAAGAGGGAAGGACAGAAGAAAATGAAGTGAATCAATATTATAATATCTAGTGTGATACATTTGTAAATTATTTCCATTTTTAATATGAAATATTGGTGTTTTCCCTCATTTTATTCTCATCTGTGCTGTAAAGCAGTCTTTTCTTTAGGAAGAAAATGCTTTTTCTCCCTGTGTTCTATTCTAGGGTTTATGGTATAATTCTTAGCTGGATTAGAGTCAATTAATAGGTTAATTATTATGGGTTAATCATAGATCTTAAAGGTAATTGAATTAGGCATAATCAAAACTCTGGATGGGTTTAATTAATTGTCATCCAGAAGACATTTTAAAAGGGGCTGAGCCAAGTAAGCTTCAATTTTAGGGGCCAAATTTTATTTTAAAATAGAAGTATGACCTGAACTATATTTTGAGGAAGGCATTCTTTTGCTTTGTAAAAAAGAAGAAAATTGTCTGGCACATGACGTTTTAATTTTTATCAAACTAATTTATTTAAATGTAAAAAAGTCAAATAGTTCATTTAAACTGTGACTGAATCATTATCTGCCCCATCTGTCACCTCAGCAGCAAATTAAAATCCTTAGGATGTTTGCCCTTACATTTTGTATTCTGCACTGTATCATGTAGAGAAAAATCTGCAGTTTTAGTGAATTCCTTAGTGTATGAAAGAGAAGAAACTCAGAAAATCAGGGGCCCTATCTGATTGTGAAATGAATGTGAAAGTATTAATTTATTAAAAATCTGTCCTGCTATCTCTTACACGAACTAGAGCTCTAACCTCTTAATCCATCTTTTTTCTTGTTCTTTCGAGTCCCTTAGCCTTCAATCAAAGAAATAGCTTAAAGGTCAGATAGGAAAGTCTCCTTGGTTCTCAAGATCAAAATCTAAAATATCACTAAGTTGTTACCCATTCTTTGTATCCACTACTCACTTTTGCTAGAATGCTCTTTTCCCATATCTGTGCCTGGTTAATTTCTGATTATCTTTCAGTTTCAACGTAAATATCACTTCATTTGACAGGTCTTACCTGATGTCCTCTCCTCCCCATCCTTCTTCATTGATTTTAAATTTAGGTTTCTCTCATATTATCCTTATTGTACCCAATAACATGTATTTTGTGATTGTTTAATGTTTGTCTCCAGGAAATTCCATTAGAATAGAAACTTTATTTTTACTCACTATTGTTTACCAGTGTTGAATTATGGTTTCTTTATGTCTGTGATGTCATTAGTTATGAGCTACACTCTGATTTCAGAGATGTTAAAATGTTAAAAATGGCTAATAACATTAGCAAATTATTATCTGTGTTAAGATGTGCTCATTTTTGAGATATCAAATGTGAAAAAGTGTATGTCATTTAATCAGCACGATGTGGTATATAATAAATATCCTTTTATGAACATTATGAGTCAATTCCCTAACTGAGACCATAAAGATAGCATACTTCTTTGTGAAAGCATTCATTTTTTTCAAAGTATGTCCTAAAGATTACTATTTTTTTGGTTAGCTGGACAGGTAGTGAATCAGATGAATAAGAAGCTGCAGACGGGTTTTACAGAAACAGAAGTGTTACAGATCTTCTGTGACACCTGCGAAGCCGTTGCAAGGTTGCATCAATGTAAGACTCCAATAATTCACCGAGATCTGAAGGTATGAACTTTGGGCTACTTATGGGTTAATACATTTTAAAATTTGAGTTAAAATGTGCTTGGGCTATCTTCATCTAAACCAGTGTATCTTAGCATTGAGTTGGTCTCTCTGTTCCTGGCTGTTTTTCCTAAGACCATCTCCAGACTGATCTTAGAATTGAAATTGTGCTTTTCATGACCTTAAGGGGTCTCTTTCTTTTCCCTTCACTGTTTAGTATATAAATACATGGTTGTAAAAAAGATGCTTTTTACTTTGCAAACTACTAATTACTGCTTTTCTTTTTTTAAGGTAGAAAATATTTTGTTGAATGATGGTGGAAATTATGTACTTTGTGACTTTGGCAGTGCCACTAATAAATTTCTTAATCCTCAAAAAGATGGAGTTAATGTAGTAGAAGAAGAAATTAAAAAGTAAGTGTTTATTATTATTGTGCTTTGTCTCTTGGGAACTTTTGTTAGCTTGAATTTGTATCCATCTCTGCTAATACAAAGTTCAGACATTTTACTTAACAAATTTCATAAAAATATTACTGTGCTATGGCCATTGATTAATTTATATCTAGCTTAATAGGAAATACATTTTACCATGGATGCCATTTTGTTTTTTTATGGACATCGTAAGCAAATTTATCAAATTTAGCAAATTTTATATGATTGTTGAATTCAGCTAAACATCTTTGCTTTTATTGATATTGGAGATTTGCGCTTGTTAGAGAAAGTTATTTGAAAACATTTAAACTTTACATTTAATAGTAAGAAAATTGACTTCTGTATGTAGAAAATGCGTTCCTTCGTAATGGTGTATTGGAAAGGTCACCAGTGAAAATGTAAGCAATATCTGCTTTATATTCTCTTAATATTGTACTTTCCACAATTATTCGGATATCTGTAAGGACCTTTCCTTTAATTTTCTGTCATTTAGTTTGAGAAAGTAGAACTGTTTATGAATGCTAGATTACCTTAAAAATGATACAGAATTTAGAAAAATTTTTCTGACTTTGAATTTCTAAGAAGTTGACCTTTCTTCACTTCTTCAAAAATTGCCAATGGTGTAAGACTGTCTTGGAAGCTATCACTTGAACAGCAGTATGTATTTCAATATAGCCCAGGTAGAACTGATATTACTTTGACCCATTGGTATAATGTTATGGATTTCTAGACTGTGTATCTCTACTTGGAAAACTTAGACTATGATGATTATGTTAGGTTCCATGAAAACAAATACCTTGGTAACCACAAATGTCCTAAAGAACATAAGAATACTTTTGAATTTATTTCTTAGGGAAACTACGTATATAAATATAATTTAAGAAAATTAATTGGATTGTGATATATTAATACAGTCACTGCTATAGGATTCTGCTCAAACATCTGATTTGCTGGAGTTTTCATTTCTTACTGTTGATCTGAAGTATAGTTAAGATTTAGTAGAATTTTGTATTACTGATTTATACAAGCTGATGAGGGATTCTTGTATTTTGTGGCTCAATTGAGGAGATAATAGTCTAAAGGTTCAATTAGCAAATACTTATTCAGCGTATGCAATGTAGTGGGCACTGTTCTTGTGTTGCAGTATTTAAGAAAAGAGAAGTCCTGCTCTCATGCAGTTAATATTCTGTATAGTAGTATCATTTAGAATGCCTTTCCATACTGTGAAGAGTAATTTGAAAAGAATAAGCTGGTAGAATATTGAGCTTTAAGACACTTCATGTTAAAAAACATGTAAATAGGGCCTCCCCGGTGGCACAGCGGTTGAGCGCTGGGTTGCGAAGCTGCCCGCAGCCTCTGCAGTGCCAGTTTGATCCCCGGCCGCAGGGTGAGGGTCCCACATGGCTTGTAGACCTCTCCTGCTGCCTGCTGCTCCCCTCAGCAGTGTATTTCGTCAGTCTGCCTGCTCTGCTCTCCGCTCTGACTCTGGTGAATTCTCTCATCCTCCCGCGCTTCTGACTGTACCCAGTGCTTGTATAAATAAATAAATAATTCTTTAAAAAGAAAAAAAAAACAACAACAACATTTAAATAGGGGTCTCTGTCGTGGCACAAGGGTTAAAATCTCCACACTATCAAGCTATTGCCAGCCCCTCTCCAGCCACTGCAGCATGAGTTCAACATCCTGATCCTCAGCCAATGAGCTAACCCACTTGGCACAGCAGACCTCTCTTGTTTCGCCTGCTCCTCCCCTCAGCAGTGTGTTTCGGTAGATCTGCCTGTTCTGTTCCCCACTCTGCCTCTGGTAAATCCTCTCACCTCCAGCACCTCTGGCCTACACCCCAGTTCTTGTACCCATAAATAAATAAAAGTAAATCTTTAAAAAATATAAATACTGAAAATCTTAAATTATACTATGATATAGACATTCTATATTCCGATAATTCTGTCATGATATTAAATACTACTTCATTAAAATATTCTGTTCATAATGGATTTGGGGTTTTTATATTGGTAAATATTTATTCATAGTATTTTTTAATTCCAAATAGCTATGGTGACAGTATTACAAGTGTACTTAATTTATATAGTTTGGATCATGGCAACTAGGTTACTATTAAGACAACAATTACAAAGACATCTAAAAGAGATTTACTACTGTGTGCAAGAAGGTAAAGTATATTAGACTATGCTTTTAAATTAATAGTATATTAGATATTACTTTTAATTGATAGCAAAATATACTGATAAGGAAATTTTTATAGTCACATGGTATTATTGTAAATAGAAATTCAAGGAAAACTGTTTCCAATATGTTTCTAAGATTTTTCTATTAAAGAAACTTAAAATTTTCTGCCATTTGAGATGCCATTGCATTTGTTAAATATAAATGTGTATAGATGCTTTGTATTGTTCAATTCTTGATGAACTTTTAATGAATTTTCAAAAATAGTATTACTTCTCTGTAACATACTGAGCCAAGAAGTTTTTGGTAATATTTTATGTAGAAACAATGTAGTATCTTTACTCCATTTTACTTTACTGCCAGGTATACAACTCTGTCATATAGAGCCCCTGAAATGATCAACCTTTATGGAGGGAAACCCATCACCACCAAGGCTGATATCTGGGTAAGGCCAGGAAATGCTGATATCTTCTTTAACCTAATTTTAAAAATCTGAGTTTCAGTTGATTATTTGTTCTCCTGATCTCCAAAACTTATTTGCGAATAAGCAGAAGAGTGATAGTAAGGCTTCTTAACCTAGAAGAAGAAAAATATTAGGATATTTTTTCTTCTCAATTCTTAGAGTGAAAGTTTAGGTATAAAAAAGAAAATTAAGGATTTCATGTAATTTAGATTTTTAACCACAGTGGTTTTCAGAATTTACATGAGTATTAACATTTTTTTGAGTGAATGGAATTTATCACAGTACATAACACTAAATTAATTATATTCATAATTTTCTGAAATATTTTTGCATCTTTTTAATGGAAACTAACATGAGTAAAACTTATTTTCTAATTATAAACATGCCATCGATTGACTTTATATATTGAAGACCTTTATCATTTAGCATATGTATCTGGATTATATTGTTGATAGAATGTTTCTATATAGTTGAACTTTATGTTAGTTTGTAAATACCTCATTAGAACTTATTTCGAAAGTAAAATGTTTTGGTTGTTTTAATAAACTATGAGGGAATTCTATTTTAAATGTAAATTCATTAAATTCAACAATTATATAGCTGTATCTACCACTAGTGATTATATTAGATAGGAAAAAAAGTTCCTTTGGAAATCATTCTAGAGTTTATAAGGAAGTTATATTATTTTGTTTTTAAAACATAATATTCAGAAAGTAGTCAAGCATAACAAATGAAACCAAATGAATATATACTTCATTCCCTTTTCTTGGCCTCCTCCTATGGGGTTTGGGATACCAAATATTCTTGCAAGGTAATAAAAAAAGAATATCTTTGAGTCTCTGAAATACAGACATTCTCACCAAACAGTGGTTCTTCAGTCTTATGGTAGTTGAATTTTTAGTCATATATGTATTTGAATCAAAGCATAAATAAATATGATTTAGTTACTTTGATACTGTTTATAGATCAACAGCATGAATAATTCAAATTCAGTTTGCTTTTTTCAGCACTATTTGAGTAAATAGCTTATAGCATGACTCAAAAAGCAAATTCATTTAGATCTTAATTTATAAAATGAAAATATTAGAAGATAGATTGTGGAAGTATATTCTGGCTTTATTTTATGACTGCTTTTGAGATCTGTAAATTATGTAAAAGTATTTCAGCAACAAAGGAAATAAGATATCATAGCTTGAGTACTATTTTGAAATCATCAAGGAATGAGAAAAAGATAAAGTAAAATTTGTCTCTAAGTGCACAATTGTTATCCACTGTCTTAACACAAATGAAGATACCGATCATTTTCTCATATTTTCCCCTCAGGCAACATACTAAGTTGTCAGTATACATTTAATATTTTTAATCTTTATAGATTAGTATAGGGAATAGTATTTTTGTACTGGATAACTGGGTATAGCTGTGGGATTACAAGTAGCTACTCAGATTTTTTAAAAAAATGCAAAAAATAATCAGAAAATAAAATCTATGTTTATGTGCTTGACAGAGACAGAATTTTCATTGCCATAATGCCATTTTTATGCTTGTCTTACTTAGGTCAAACAGAAGTATGTGCCACCATTTTAGGTGTGAATTCAAAATCCAGAGAAAAAAATGCTAAATTCATATTGGTCAAGAATTATAATCTGATCTTATCTCAGGGAATTGATTGAGAGTTACAATGTTGAGATTATTCATCTAGTGCATTTTGGGAAAAATTATTTTGGTTGGAAGTTTTCATTGTAGATTATATTTATCTTGAGATGTAGGATGCTGACTTTATTAAATATTAGGAAATTCAGCAAGAGCTGCTTCATGTTACCTTTTAATGAGAAAAATTGAAGATGGTGACACTAAGCCTTCAAAATCAGATTATTGGTTCCCTCCTGTAACTTGAACATTTCTTATTATGTCAAATGGATAAAGAGGAAAATGCCTTCGGTGTGGAAAATATAGGACACCTCATTGTGTTGACACTGTGTGAAGCAGAGTATTTTAGATTTATGTTTTTAACTATGCTGTTATTGCTATCTAAAATTTTCTGATAACTACTTCAAGATTTACTGTTATCATAGGACACATTGGTAAAAATTTAATTGACAAGGTAAAACTTGCTCTTTTGCCTGGACAGTAGAAAGTTTAACACAGATTTTATACTATTAATAGTAATGTTTTATTGCTTTTAAGATGTAATTTAACTACTTAAAATAATTTTAATTGTTGCTTTTAAGGGAACTTCATGTTTAATTTGCTGCATAAATGCTAAATACATACATTACAGATTCAAAAAATCAATTTTTAAAAAAGCTGCTTTGAAAAGGTAACTTATATTCAGATTCTTTACAGCTTAGTCCTATAGTAATAACCTAGTAATGTTTGAGACAAATACTTTGAAATTCATAGAGCCTTTACACATTTTTTTATCAGAAGACTTGTAATAATAAAAATAATGTTTTGAATTTAATATTGTTTATCTCACAAAGATGTTTTTATACTGATCTTCATAGTAGCTAAAAAAGGTAGTGTATTTATTAGTTGTGTTTGTATGGTTGATGTGTGGAGGAAAAAAATCCACCAAAGGAAAGATGATTTGATAATTTTTAGCTAGTAAGGCCAAATTTCAGTATCGCTGGTATATATAAATGTCTACTAAGGATTGGATAATTTTGTATAATCTGTTTAGAACTGTAAGTGTTTCTTACACTCTTTTAAGACTTGTAGGCGACACTTCTTGTGACAACACAGTGATTTCTGTAGCCAAAATTCACATTTTATTACTGCTTCTCAGTTTGGAGCAGTTTAGCCAGAAATTGTCTATGCTGTTTTTCCTGACACCATTAGATTTATTGGTACTGTTATATTTGTGAAGTCATGCAAATGAAGTAGAAAGAGCCCTCCCTGCCTCTTGGAATTTTAATATCGATTGCTCAGGTACACATCTAATTAGTATAATGTAGATTAAAAATGGTAAGATTAAGCGTAGAAATGGAGAACCAATTTTGATAACATGAAGTGATGACAAGTACTTATTGAATAATCAATAAAAATGTGGATGTGTCTGCTAAGTTTAATTGTGCTAACTCATATGAGTCCCAGGATTTAAAAAACATGTTTTACAGTGAATTTTTACAAAATAATGCTAGAACAACCTTTGTGCTTTGTTTGTTGGTTATATGCTATTGATGTACTGAATACATATTTTCCTCTTGGAATAAATGGAACTGTAATTTTTTTTTTCAAAAAATGAATCAGTCACTTTTAATTTTAATTAATTCATTTATGATATAGAGTTCTGTGATAACATTAGTTAGCCTACTTGTCACAAGTGTGATAGAAAAATTCAGAAATGATACAACTAAATGTCTTCACAAATTAGGCACATGAATTTCTGTAAGTAGTAATTTATGAAAAGATTAATCCAGGGTAGAATCATTAGGCTTTTATTTTTTTTAGTAACATGTATGGTTTGGGGCTGATTTATATTTGTGGCTGATTACTTAAACTTTGATGATACTCATGCTTCTTTGTTTTACAGGCACTGGGATGTTTACTTTATAAACTTTGTTTCTTCACTCTTCCTTTTGGTGAAAGTCTGGTTGCTATTTGTGACGGCACCTTCACCATCCCAGACAATTCTCGTTACTCCCGTAACATACATTGCTTAATAAGTAAGTATTCGGAAGAATTTATGAAAAATATAAAATAGTGCACTTGGGGTTGCCTATGTACATCCTTTTACCTAACCTAGACTATTAATTTCATCTGTTGTAATTTTATATAACTATAATAAAGAAAACCACTAAAAAAAAGATTAAATACTTTTTAAGGAATGAAGGCAGTCTAACTACTGATTAAGTAATGTGGATATTTATTATAATCCCCTAGATAAGCTTTAGTGGCACATGGAGATTGTGTAATTAAGGAAACTAGAATTTCTAGAAAAAACTTACTGTATAACATTGAATTATTTAGTCTTTATTTTTGAAATCCAGCTCTCAAGATCTGTTGCTTCTTTATAATATTGCTAAACTTGTGTCAGTTGGACACAAAAATTACATTTCTTCATGTGAAATGTTTTCCTAGTCAAGGGAAATGGGGATGTAGACTAATAGGATAGGGTATGTGGTGTTAGCATTTATAAGGGAAAGGAAATATCCCATTGGCTGCTGCCCCACCAGCATGAACACTTTAGTTCTGATTGGAGAAAATTAAGTAAGTATGCTTGTACTTGGAGTCTTCTTCCCAGAGAGATTTACCTCCCAGTTGTTGACTGTACTAATGGTGCCCACCTTGAGTAGCAACCATCCTGGCTCAAGAGTTCTTTTATCATTTTTGCATGAATACCTCCCACTCTTGTTTTGATATATGTGTGTGTGTGTGTGTTTAATATGCTTATGGTAGCCTTTCAGGCAAGTTACACTACCTGCTGTGGCAATCCAAGTTATTTTCCCAGGTGTCAGTGTTTTTGTCAGTGCTCTGTGACAAAGTTGTATGTTTTTTCAGTAGTCTATCCTGACTCTGTTTTCCCTATTATTTTTTTAAGCTTTATTAATTTGCAATTAGTTTAAATAACTATAATTTTGGGAGTTCAGCTATACCCCTCCATATGTGAGTGTGACTGCCTCCATGAAAGGTCCAGTGCCACGAACTTTTCCACCTTACTTCCCCTTCTACTTCCTCCCCTTTGCACTGCTGTTTTGCAGAATGTGAATATCTTCAAAAGAGCAAACATATCTTTAGGGTATATCTGAACAAACATTATATCCTTAATCCACTCTATTTTATGCAGCTATTTTTCCCTTCATGTTAAAAACTTAGGGCATCAAAAGCACAAAAGAACTCTAATTAATTGGAGTACTCAAAGAATAGATTGAGAAATTTGACTGTTGCTTGTTTAGCTAATTGAAGTTTAACCTTTTATCAAAGCCTATGTTGTAAATCATTGTAGCTGTAGAACTATTTTGTTGTTACGTATGTTTTAGTCACAATTGAACTGAGGAATTTTTTTTTTTGGTGGGGGTGTGTGTCTTGCAGAGAGTGGATATTCTCATTAGAAAATAACTATATGAGAGACTAGACAGTATGTACCCTCATTCATGATTTAATTTGTTTTCAGTAGAAAGATCTTATTTTTTGTGTATGTGTTAGTTCCAATGCCCCCAATTTTTGTGGGTATATGTGTGTGAAGAGAAGGTGGAAAAGCTTAAATACCATTAACAATTTTAGGATATAATTGGACTCTGGTTAACTACATTTTCACTTGTATCACATGCACTGCCTTTATTTTGTCAATAAGTGTACAGATTTCAGTTTTTATTAAAGTTAGTATAAACTTGACTATGTATTAATGTTTTTAAATTTATTCTGAGAGATAGGCAACAATAAAAACAAGGTTGAGTGAAGAAAAGTATTCAAGTAAATCTTGGTATTTTTATCTACTGTCAAGGATTTTTATGGGTTAAAGTTTAAAATATTCTCTTGTAGTTAAAGCTTAGTAATGTACAAATTTTGAAAAGCAGAATAAACTTAACCATATATTGTGACATTTTGTAGAAAACATTTGGATTGTTTGCATTTTGATCTTTTAAATATTTCACAATATCTTATTTCGGTGTCTCTGTTAGCTTTTACAATATGTAAGATTACATAAAAATTTGTAATTAATGATTTACATTGCTTTCAAATAGATCCTGCACTCAGAAAACCAGGAATAGCATAGCTGTGCTCATAATTTTTGAAAGTGAAACTTTTTATTGTCAGTTGTCTTTGTGGTTGTATTTGCTTGCCCATAGTGACATAAGATAAAGCATTAGAAAGATCTATTTCTTCTTAGTGTTAATAGTTTTACTGCTTGCATCTTACTATATATGACTCAGGATTTTTGATAACAATAGCCATACCAAAACTGCTTGACTTGTGGTTTATAAGTATTTGGATATACTTTTTATTTCACTAATTTGTTCAAGGGTAATTATTATTGCCTAGTGTCTATAAAGCTCAGTTTGACTAATAATTTTGTGGTTTTCCATGCAGACTTTTCTTCTTAAAAGTATCAGATTCAGTTATTTGGAATTTTTCTTTAAACTTAGTTTCTGTTCACCTTTTCAATAAAAAAGTAATTAAGATAGATTAAGGTTCAGAAGAGAAGTATTTTCTATATGTATCTAAGGGTTGAAAAGAACTTTGAGGACATTTAAAGGAGAATGAGAAGCATAACTAATGGGATTACTGAATAGTTATGAACAGTGATGAAGGCTGACTGCCTAGACTTCAGTTTCTGAGCTGTACAGTGAGTATTTAAGGAGGTATGTCTTAGGAATTAAGAACAAAGAGTCTGGAGTGAAATGGCCTGAACTTGCATCTGCTCTGTCACTTACTTGGTACAGAATATTGGGTAACTTCATTTATCTCAATCTCACTCTAGTATCATATTAAAAATCCTCTTGGGGTTATTTTGAAAATTGGATGAATAATGAAAAGGATTTCTTTGCACATGTATGTACTCAGTAAAAGAGATGGACTTTAATAACTCCTACTACTGTTAATATCATTATTACAATTCTTTCTAAACTAACATAATTTTTTATTTTCTGGGTTAGGGATAGAATATCTGCTGTCATATCCATTAGGATGTACTTTCCCTACAGAGATCTATTTCTTCAGATGCTTTGGAGCAAATCTTGGTTTTGCAGGTTAATAATGGATCTACCAATGGCTTACTATAAAGTTATATCATATTCCAGAATGTGCCTCTAAGTGTGATTATTAATATTATTTTTCTCTCCTTTTTTCTTTATGCATTGATATGGTGATTCATAGTGAATGACAGGAAAAGCTTTGTTAGAAGTTTTTGGGTTGCTCACTTACTATTCCTTTGTGGTTCTATGTCTTAGCTCTTAGGGATCATGTATTGGGGTTAAATTTATGTTAATACCTGTTTTCTGTGGGAAATCAAGAACTTGCTTGTTTTTTTCCCCCACATTTTATTTAAATTTTATTTTTTATATTCCCTGTACAATTATAACCCCCTTGTTTTGTGCTTGTTAGTTTTAATACACTTAAAGCTTACTGTGGAAATTAAAAGAATACACAAATATAGACAGAACATTATAGACAATTGTCATGTAATAGTCATCTAGCTTCAGTGACTATTAACTTATGACCAGTCTTGTTTCATCTATGTCAAAACTGAGACATTTTAATGAATCTTGGAAAAGACAGAATTCAGAGAATAAGAGAATTTCCTCCTGACGATTATCGGTGATTGGTTCTGGGATAGTAATTGGTGAAATGTAGAGAGAGGGCTTTTCTTATTAATTTCTAGAGCTTGCTACCAGAACACTCTCAATACCATCCTGGCATTTTTTTGATGCCATTTGTTATACTTATGATTGAGCACATTTGTCATCAACTATTAATTTTTTTTCATGTAAGCATATACATATATGTATAACACATATATATCTTTCTAATGCATTATCTTATGTTAATATATGAAATCAAATACAATCCATGAATACACAGTGGGCAATTAGAAGTTTCACTTTCAAAAATTATGAGCACAACTAGGTTATTCCTGGTTTTCTGAGACATTTTATTTCAAATATATCCTGAATGCAAGATATATTTGAGAACAATGTAAATCATTCATTATATATTTTTATATAATTTTACATATTGTGAAAGCAAACGGAGACCCCAAAATAAGGTAATGGGAAACAGGTCATGTGAAACACTTATCGGATAAAATTGCAAAGAATCCAGATGTTTTCTCTGTATACCTAAATGTAAGTTTCTCTAATAATCTCCATAGGTTAACAGATAAAAATAATAAGTTAATGCTTAAACTGTTGCTACAGAATTGGGATGGGTTTCTCTTTTGGGGTAAATTACTCTAAGTAAAAACTGGAAGTTTGTGGGAGAGAAAAAGTATCATTATGGAAGGAAGAAAAAGTTCAATGAATTTTAAGCAGGAAAAATCTTTTCCAATTTCTATCCAAAATATGTTTCTATTAAATTTGTTTAGTTGTTTTATTGGGGATGCTGGTTTAACTTTTATGTGGTTACAGGCATAAATCCATCATTTCATGTAACTTAACTGGGAACTACTTTATTTAATTGTTTAGTTTGAGTGCTCGATTAAACCATATTTTGACTTGTCTGTTATTACAGTAGCAACAGCTCCTTTAGCTGCATTTTTTGATGGAATATGTATAGGATGGTATATTTTCTATTCATTATTAGTATAAACATAATTCAGTTGCCTGACACAAGTTTCAAAGTCAAATATTATAGCAGTTGGAAATACAGTATTGTAATGCTTTAATCATTAACCTTCAAAGCTGAGACTATTTTGTGTCCTCATGTTCTTTTAGTGGTATTTCTGTCAATAGAAAGATTTATGTAATTAGGATGAGGAGGGAAATAATCTTTCATTTCTATGTAACTAGCTGTTTAAAAGTCAACTTCAAAAGTCAACTTGCAGTAGAATTGGGGTCAATGGAACTGTTCTGATCATTTTATGTTGAGTATACAAGGGTGTAGTCTAGCTCTTTTTTTTTTTAACTTACTCATTCTGATTCACTATTGGAGGAACTGGACACATGGATTCCTATCTACTCCTTTTCCTCAAGAGTATATTTTTATAGATGACTTGGTTTTATTGTTATGAAGTAGGAGTTAATAAAAAATCTAGATTTGAATTTTAACTGTTGTCAGAGAAAATACTTTGGACCAACTTTTTAAAATCTGAAGTTGTTATTTTTGGTAGCTATGACTTAGTTTTTAGCTGGATTAGAGCTGATACCTCTGCACTCCAGATTACATCATTCAGTAATCTAGGAGTACGTTTTGCAACCAGTTCTCTGGGAGATTATTTAAATGCCTAAAGACATCTTTTTTTTTTTTAAGATTTATTTATTTATACAAGAACTGGGGTACAGACCAGACATGTGTGAGGGTGAGAGGATTCACCAGAGACAGAGCAGGGGAACAGAATAGGTAGACTGATGAAATACACTGCTGAGGGGAGCAGTGGGTGAGATGGCAGAGGTCTGCTTTGCCATGTGGGACCCTCACCGGCTGGCCAGGATCGAACCGGCACTGCAGAGGCTGCAGACAGCCTCACAGTGCGGCGCTCAACTGCCTGCGCCACGAGGGAGGCCCTAAATGCTTAAAGACATCTTACTGATCTTTTTCTTTTTCTTTTTTTAATGACTGATAATATCTAGGATAAAAATATTCAGATATTCAGGAAGGGGATGTTCTACCTGTGGACTTTAGCTTCTTAAACTTAGAATTTTGAACCAAATCAAAGATGGTGTGTTGGAGCTCATTAGATAAATCTGTCAACTTTGGTATTTATAAAACAGATTATAAGACAATATGTAGATCTGAAGCTAAAGGGATCTGTTAATCTATATTCATTCCCCAAATTTACTCACACCCTGTCTGGTATTTGGTATAGGTATACTGGAAAACAATTGGCTTTTCTCCACAGAAGCAGGCCACTTGCATAACATGGTTTTGCAAAGAACATATGTATGACCTGAGAATAAACTGTTCTGAAAGAGGGAACACCAGAGATTCATGAATATAGGTGCTCATTTCTATTTTCCCATCTATTAGAAAAATATGTTTTCCCTTTGGAGAGAAATGAGTAAGTTGTTAGTAGGAGAGGTCATTAGCACAGAGGTGTTCAAAGTATTTTGACTGATCCTCAGTTAAAAACACATTATAGTTAGGATCTGGTACACACACACATGAAACAAGTTTCATGAATGCTAGTCATGACCTTTTAAGTTTATTTTATGTCTCATAAAATGGTATCAATACAGTTAGACCAACTAAACTGGCTATTCCAAATGTTGCCCCTCATGGAAACATTAGCAAGGGGAATTAGAGGCCCTTTCATTTGCTTGTGATAGCAGTTCTGCCCACTGCCTGATTTAACATAATCATTAGAGGATATTGTGCAATGCTTAACCTGAGAGATAGAATTACCTATATAGATATTGGTTAGAAAACAAAATTTCAAATTTATTTCCCCTCAATGCTTCTCATCTACTCCAAAAGAAAAGATGTGTAGGATTGCCTGAAGGATCATTCTGTTCCTCTCTAGATATTTAAAAAACTTTCCTAGATTAGGACATATCAGTGAAGTGTATTCTTGTACCATGTGTGATGGAATTTCTTGTACTGACCTTTATTTAGGTAATATGTCACTGGTCCTCACAGAAGGAGTGTTTAAGACATGACCCTATGTCACTCACAAGTTCTTTATGGTATAGTTCCCTCTTTGTGAGCCATTTTAGAAAGATACAAAAGAGGGTTTATGTTTTGCTGTCAGTATCAGGAATAGCACCTGGCTTATTTTTGTGTTAAGAATATTATGATTCATAATATGGATCTCGTTGGCTTATTTGTATTGATGGGTAGAAAGCAGAGAACTAAATTTTTGATTTACATTTATTTTTGAATTACATTTATAGGACCAAGTTATATGCAACTTGCAAATCTCTTAAATGACATCATTATCCCTGGATTTTTAAAAGTCTTTTTTGTCTCTCAGCCATTTATTCTTTTATTAATACTAATTTTCTCATAAAGAAAATCTTAGTTTTTTTAAACTATATTAATTTTAATAGTTAAATTATATTGTCACTTCAGCCTATATAATTAGTTACTGTTAAAATTAGATTTTTAAAAGCTAAATAAACTTAATTGTTTGAGTAGAAAAATAGAATCATAAATTTGTGAAAAATTTTTAAAGATTTATTTATCCATAGAGGAACTGGGGTGTAGGCCGGACGTGCGGGGGTGGGGCGGGGGGAGAGGATTCACCAGAGACAGAGTGGGGAACAGAACAGGTGGACTGACTGAAATACACTTTTAAGGGAGACAGCGGGCGAGACAGGAGAGGTCTGCTGTGCCATATATGGGTTAGCTCCCAGGCTGGGGGGATCAAACTCAGGTTGCAGTGGTAATAGCCGGAAAGTGCTGAGACTTAATAAAATAATTAAAAAATCAGTTTTATAAGTGATAAATGTCAGCCTTTTTAAGTGCATAAATTAAGTGCCCTCTTTTTGATTAAAAACTTTTCTTGATTGGTTCTCGGCCTTTAGCTAAGATCAAGTGTAAAAAATTTCTTGTAGTTTTCAGCTAAATCTATTATGCTGTTGGAGATGCGTTGCACTCTATTTGTTCAACTATTACTTAAATTTGAAAGGAAGGTTTAATTAATTTTAATTTGGTCATTATATACTTTGATCTCCTTAAACATAATTTATTGACAAACTTTGGAATATTATCTTCTGTAAAATTTTTCATTCCAAATAGGTTTGAGAACGATTTGAACATTATAAAACATAGAGTTAATCAGTGGACCAGAGTTAAAACCTGAAGTTGCCTTAACAAAATATGAATTTTTCAGGTATAGATTTGGGTGTAAATGTCAACTTTCTTGTAAAATTCTAAATTACAAGAGGCCCAGGAAATAGACAAATATTAGTGGTAATTTTGGTTGTATTACAGGTTAAGCATTTCAGTCAATGCTGTTCAATCAATGTTAGTGTGAAATCTATTCTTAGAACCAACCATAACCAATAAAACATAAAACTCTGCTCATAGCTCTAAATATGACATGAATAGCATGTTGAAATACAGGACTGTCATGAGTATTGTTAGCATCAGTATGAGAAAAGACATGTTTTGGAAAACTAGTGTAAACCTAGTACGATTTTGTTAAATAGTTTTTACACAAATTTGGTCTTCTCATTGATTCAGGAACATTTAAAAATTAGTACAAGTATTTTAGATAGTAGTGGAAATAAGGACCCCCACATAGTCTTGGAACTTTTTAAAATAATGCTCCATTGTTTTCTAAACTCATTTTTTGTCTTGTCTCACTTTCTTAGAGTAATATTTGTATTTGCATTCATAACTTCTGTTGCAGTGCTGTTATATGACAGATTTTCCTTTAGCTTAGGATAATGCTTTAATTTTATATGTAAAATAACAATTTCTGGGCCTCCCTGGTGGCGCAGGGGGGCTGCCTACCAGGCTGTCTGCAACCACTGCAGCATGAGTTCGATTGCCAGTCAGGGAGCTACCCACATGGAGCAGCAGACTACTTATGACTCGCCCGCTGCTCCCCTCCGCACAGTATTTCGGTCAGTCTGCCTGCTCTGTTTCCTATTCTGTCTCTGGTGAATCCTCTCAAACCTCCCTCCTCCCAACCTCTGGCCTGTACCCCAGTTCTTGTATGCACAAATAAATAAATTTAAAAAAAATAACAGTTTCTCTATTTTCTATTAGCAAAGTTGCTAGAATCATTAGTGGTCTTAGAGTGAAAATTTTATATGCATTTGCATATGCAAACATAAACACATATGCACACATGCATCCCCTTTTTGAGTTTCCCTTAAATAGATTTGGTATTCAGTGAAACTTCTTAACATTTTGAACTATTCTTGCAGGGTTCATGCTTGAACCAGACCCAGAGCATAGACCTGATATATTTCAAGTATCCTATTTCGCATTTAAATTTGCCAAAAAGGATTGTCCAGTCTCCAACATCAATGTAAGTAGTCTTTCAATTATGAATTATTAATTAATGTAGAATTAATAATCTCTTTCATCATATGCAAGTAATATGTACTTCCAGAGGTACTTTATAAAAATGGTCTAGTAGTGTGTTTGTGATTAGCATTTTTGATAATAAGCCACAGTTGGCAACCTTTACCGCAGTGCCCTGGGCAGCTACAGTAGACACAGGGTCATTGCCTGTCATTTTGTATATTCAAGGGAAACACAGGTCTTCTGCTCATATTTTCTAGACTTTCTTGTATCATAAAAATTATCTGCATTGTCCAGAAACAACTCTTTATTCATATGCTTGATATGCGCTGCTTTTTCCAAAGAAACATAGTGATACCTGTTTTACACAAACTACTATAAGTTATTTGGGTCTAACTGTTAAAAACAGACTGAGATTTTTGAGAGGGTGTATCTCTAGGGATGTCATAAATTACTGAGTCACTGAATACTCTGTAAAATGAGTAAGTTTGGTTAACTTTGGTGTAATAAGCATAGGTGTAAATGGAGAGACCTGGGTTCAACTCTCTCTTTATGAGTCACTGATTTTGTATACTTTGGAAGTTACTTAATGTTGTTCATTTCTTTTTCTGTAAAACAGGGATAGTAATTGTGAAGATTACAATTAATAAATGGAAAACCCAGTGCCTAGTTCTTGGAAGGCATTGAGTTGGTAATAGCTTATGTCATTTAAATGCTCTGAATTAATTTCATGTCCACACTGTTCTCAAATGATCTGTGAATGACAAGTTTGTGAATTTTAAATAAGATCTAGAATTATCACTGATTTTAAATCATTTTCAACTTTTTAAGATCCTTTTAGGTTTTCGTTTATGAATAACTTAGTCCCCATTAAAAAAAAAGAAATTAAGCACCTTTCCTTTTTATTTTTGAAGCCCTTGCTATGTCAGTATAATATGTTCTCTGTTGAAACTGAAAGTCATGCAGTTCTGACATTCTACTAATGAAACTCTGACATTAGATTATAGATTTTTATCTTTTCATTCAATAGACATTTGACTACCACTATAAGGCAAACATAATATAAAGCATAAACATATGAGTCAGATCTTCTACTCTTTCTTTCTTTTTTTTTTTTTAAGATTTATTTTTTTTATACAAGAACCGGGGTACAGGCCAGATGCGTGGGAGGGTGAGAGGATTCACCAGAGATAGAGTGGGGAACAGAAAGAACAGGCAGACTAACTGAAATACACTGCTGAGGGGAGCAGTGGGTGAGACAGGAGAGGTCTGTTGCTCCATGTGGGTTGCTCCGAGGCTAGCCCGGATCGAACCGGCGCTGCAGAGGCTGCGGACAGCTTCACAGTGCTGCGCTCAACTGCCTGTGCCACCAGGGAGGCCCTACTCTTGTTTTCAATACTTCTTGTATCATGAAAGTTATCTGCATTATGTAGAAACAACATATGAGTAAACTCATATGCTTGGTTGTAGGCTACTTTTTCTAAAATGTGAAATAGTCACTATTTTACAAGTGTGATCTTTCTCTTTATCCAAGATTTACCCAAGATAATCCAAGTGATTGTAATATTTAGTTCTGCTTATTTTCCAAGGATTCCTATAGTCCACGAATATGAAAATGACATTTGTATAAAATGCAGTGATCTTTGCAGATTAGACCTGGCAAGCATGATGTGAACACTATAGATATAAGAGCTGAAACTAGTGATTCCTCACAGGCAGCACTATTCAAGTTTAATAATATATCCATAGCATTTAATAAACCTTTCTGCAATTAAAATGAAAACTTATTTTTTCTTCCAAGAATTCTTCCATTCCTTCAGCTCTTCCTGAACCTATGACCGCTAGTGAAGCAGCTGCTAGGAAAAGCCAAATGAAAACCAGGTAGGTAAAACTATGTAGAAATTTGAAGAGGCTTTTAAAAAAAAAAAGGTTTAGTTTTAATCCTAATAAATGTTGTTGATTAAATGTCATCTTCACCCACAAAAAATTTTATTTCTTGTATGTGGTATAGAGTTGAGATAACAAGTACAAAGTAAGTTTTTTTGTGTTAAATATAGTTTGACATTGTCCCATTTGAACTCATTCATCAATGAAGAAGTCATCGTGTAACTGGTGATGTTATATTGGGTCTTCATTAGGGGGAGGATTTTCATTATTTTAATCATATAATTACTCTAATTCATGAAATTTTGTGTTTTGCATTTATTGCTAGAGTAATTTGTTTTTTCAGTTATAGAAGGAAAATGTAGCTCGTCAGTAACTATTTTAGAGGTCTCTAAATTCATAAACTATTAGGTTTTCTAGTATACATTTAGGATATGTATTAATGTGTGCAGTTTATAATGAATGGTTATAATGATAATACTTTTAAGACTAGTATGGAAATCATAATGTTTTAAATTATTATTCTAGCAGTTATTTACTGCTTTAATATGTTTGATATGCATTGTGTAGATGAGAACTTGAATTTATTAATGAGTGATTGCTTTTCTCATTTTTTTTTAAGTGTAAAAGTTGTCTCATATATATTTAAAAGATTTATTTTATTATGCATTCAAGAGTTGGGGTGCAGGCCAGATGAGCGGGGGAGACAGTGAGAAGCAGAACAGGCAGATTGACTGAAATACACTGATGAGGGGAGCAGCAGGCAAGACGGAAGAGGTCTACTGTGCCATGTGGGTCAGCTCCTTGGCCGGTGATCGAACTTGTGCTTCATTGGCTGTTGTTAGCTTCACAGTGCAGAGACTTAACCCCTTGTGCCACCAGGGATGCCCTTTTATATTATCATATGGTTGTATTGCATTTAGAGAAATTTCTTGGTCGCTGCTCTTTTATATTGTATTCTCTTCAATCACTTGAATTTTTTTTGAAAGATTTTTTTTCATGATATACTTTTCATTGTCTTTTCTTTTTTTTTTTTTTTAAAGATTTACTTGTTTATGCATACAAGAACTGGGGTACGGGCCAGGGGTGTGGGGTGGGAGTGAGAGGATTCACCAGAGACAGAGTGGGGAACAGAGCAGGCAGACTGACTGAAATATACTGCTGAGGGGAGCAGCGGTCCCAGACAGGAGAGGTCTGCCATGCCATGTGGGTAGCTCCCTGCCTGGCCAGGGATTGAATTTGTGCTGCAGAGGCTGCAGATTGCTTCATAGTGCTGTGCTTATTAACCCCTTGTGCCACCAGGGAGGTTCCACTCATTTGAATTTTATAATGTTCTCTGGATTAAGAGACAAAGGAATTAACATCTAACTTGCATGAATACAGCATAACCAACTATATCATTTATGACATAGCTATAGTTATTAACGCTATTATAGTTGAGTGATAATTATGCAGTATTATAGCACTTGTCAGTTGAATTTTACTATGTTTTTAAAAATATTTTGTTATGATTAAATCTTGAAATATGTATGTATTTTAGAAAGCATCAGTCAACTTAACAAGAATGATGCTTTGAATATACTTTCAAGTTTTAGCTGTATAATAATAAACAAATGAAATAGCTAATACTAATTTACTTTTTATTATTAGTACCAATGAAACACTTGAAAAAATATATTAAAAATTCATATGAAGATTTGTTTCATGTAAAAGACATTTTTAGAATGAGGGTATGTGGAGAAATCTTTAGCTAGTTTCATTATTTACATGCTTTCAAATTTTTATACATGTTTTTCATCTGCCAAGCCTTCAATATGTGGTAGTTTTTGCTTCATAAAAGCTTCCTTCTAGCTTTCCCAAATCTGAATTTGCTCTTGGGACTGTTAAACTTGTGAACTTATGTGACATATCTTTAAATGGAAAGGAAATACCGAAAAAGTTTTATTTTTAAAATTAATTTACTTGAAATAACATTGGCTTACATCATTGTATATGGTTCAGAAGAGTAGGTTCACGCCTCCTCAGATGGGCATCACTATACCTTTATCTACCCACTTAGCATATAATCCCTACCACTTAGCATAACTTCCTCCAATTTACTCCATGTTATGCACAAGACAGGAGTTCTTTTTCCTATAGCTAAATAGTATTCCATTGTACTACATCTTCTTAATTCAGTCTTCTGTTGCTGAGTACTTAGGTTCTTTCCATAACTTTAATATTATTATAAATAGTGCTACAATGAACATACGAGTGCATATCTCTTGAAATTAGTTTTTATTTTCCCTTCTTTGGGTTAAATGCCAAGAAGTTGAATTACTGGATCATAGTATGTCTATTTTTAATATTTTGAGAAACTTCCATGCTGTTTTCCTTAGGGACTGAATCAGTCTGCATTCCCACCAACAGTGTACTGAGGATTCCTTTTTCTCTGTACCCTTGCCAACCTTTGGTCTTTTTTTTTTGGGCCATTGTCACTGGAGAGAGGTGGTATCTCATTGTGGTTTTGATGTGTATTTTCTGGATGATAGGCGGTATGTTCATAAGCACTGATTTTAAGAAGAGAGAGTGTCTGTGTTTCAGGAAGATCAAGATCATTCAGGAGATAATGAGAAGGAAAGAAAAGGAAGGAAGTAGAGAAAGTAGCTCTGTTGCAACAGTTCAGATGAGGCTGTGCAATGGATGACATGGATGACAGCATGGATGACAGCAGTTATTCAGTCTTTCATTTGCTCAAGTTTGTATATTCCTTTTGCTTAATCTGACCAGGCATTTTCTTTCTGCTGCTTTACGTAGAATGTTGTTTTCTTTTTTTTTTTTTCCTCAACTGTAATGAAATCATTTCTTTTTTTATCTGCAGTTCCTATCTGAAGCCTTTTCTAGCAATATTAGGATTAAGGTAGAATTTTTCCTACATGAAACTCATGATACTACTAGCTCCACACTAATAAATAACTCAGCTCAATGCATACTTGATTATCATTAAATTAAGATATATTTGATTCTATGCATAATCATCTGTTGCCTTCTAGTCAGTTTTATATGATTTGTATCAACACCATCCCATCTAAAACATAAATGTTATTTTTAGAAAATATATACAGTATATTTCTATAATTTCTGAACTCTTGATTCAATTTCATTTGATTCAGTTTTCATTATTTCACAGATAGTTGTTAACAGAGCTCCCTCTTGTGGTACATACAGATAGAGGAAATAACTAAGGCCTTAGAATTGTGGTACACAGGACTTTCTGTAAACAGCAGATATAAAGTTGATAAGTCATGTGAATGTAAAATTTGTAAGTATCAAATAACTTGAAAATGTGGCATGGCACTTGATAAAGAGATTCTATTGCAATTGTGTTGACAAGTAAACATTTGACTTTATGAAAAAGTATTTGAATTCATAGAAAACAAAAGTTAATAAATATACCAGTAAAAGATTGTTCTTGTCTTTTTTTGAAAGAGAAAAGCAAATGTCTGCATATTCTTAAATTATCTTCAGTATCATCCTTTCAGAACCATGCTTATCACTTGACTCCCCAGTCTGTGGGCTAAGTCCACAGACTTAAGAGGAATAATAGCTACCTTTCCTGTTTTAAGAAGTAAATTATGAAGTAGGATCTAAGAAACTTCTGTTTCATAGTTAACATTAAGGTTACTTGCTTTTTTTTCCTACATCTTTGGATTGGAGATTCTATTATTTGTCATATGCCAATACCCTCTAGTGAACGATTACTAGGTACACAATTGTAGTTGAAACAATTGGATTTATTATTCTTATAGCATAGGAATCTGTGGTGACAGATTTTCCCTAATGTGGGAAAAGTTTCATACAGTTTCCACTCAGTGTTCTAAGCAAAGCAAAGTTACAGATTCTAGAAGTTGAATCTACGCATGTAGCATCAGCTGTTCAAGTTTAGACTTACTTTGGTTTTCCATGAACTAGGGTACATACTGTCTTTTCTTTCATAGGCCTAGTGTCTTAGCTAAGGGAGATTGTTATTTGTTGTTTTTATTTTTATTTCTTTGTCTGATTCAGAAAGTGGCTCTCAGTTTTATCGAAAAGCTTATGAAAAGGTGTGTGTTTGTTTCTTTCACTCTTCGATGGGCATTTAATATTTGAGAATGAGATGTAGGAAGATGCCAAGAGGACTAAATCATCAACAATAATAATTAAAACATATCTGTTGAAACAAATGTTTTATAGAACAGACAATAAATTAACAATAATCCCATTGTTTAGAATGAAATATATTCTTCTGTTGTAGAATAACAGATACCATTGGACCAACAGAAACCTCAATTGCACCAAGACAAAGACCAAAGGCTAACTCTACTACTGCCACTCCCAGTGTGCTGAACATTCAAAATTCAGCAACACCTGTTAAAGTCCCTGCTCTTGGTGAATTTGGGAACCACAGACCAAAAGGTAATTCAACCCTGTCAAACTTGTTCCTTTTATAGCTGACTTAAATAAACCTTTTATGGCTTGATTTCCTAGGAGTATAAATTACTGACAAAGTTAATATTATGAAGTGCAAATATCATAATATTTTAAGAAATTTTCTGCTCATATTAAATAAACTCAATTGGTCTCTTAAATTTGTAGGCAAAGGTAAGTTACCAGCAGTCTATAAGTATGGTACAAAAACTCACAATTTGTTTATCCCTAGAGTCATCAGCTAGTAGGGTTTGAAGTTTAAAATAAAGTTTCATGAGTATAGAATATTACTGTATTACTGAAAAGGACAAAGTTAAAACTCTAGTCTCTCGAAGTTTTATCAAAAGTCTTTGTGATGAAACTGGAACCTTGGCAAGGGAGTCTGTCTTGTACCATGTGGACTCTACACATAGAAATTTGCCGTTTTATCTGATTTTGAGGAAAATTTTTTTCTGACTTAAAAATATTTCCTGAACATTATGTATAGTGTTGTACTTAAATCCTCCCTTCTCCCAGATATATCTGTAATGATAGAGAGTAAACTTATTCTCTCAAGAATCTGGAGATATAACCTGAGGGTTCATCCCAAGGAAACTGTTTTGCACATTATTTCATAATCTGTTTTGTTTAAATCTTAAAATGTTTTCATCTAGGAAACTGGTTGAGCTCATGGCTAAAAGCCTGCACTTTGAGTTTTGTGAACCTAAATTTGAGTCCTATCTGTCTCATGTTTTATGTTATAAAAACATAATACCTATCTTATGCAGTTTTGTGAGGACTAGATAACTGCTTAATATAGCCTGTCACATAATCTGTTTTTGAGAAATGTTAGCTGTTAAGTACTTTTATTGCTATTAAGTATATGTTCAGAGAAGGCAAGATTTATATTACCTGAAATGTTGCTGAATATCTATTTGGTGATCAAGTATCAGGTGGGAGGAATATTCCATGAAAAAGAGAAAATAGGGGATTTTGAAGTCTTTTGTATCTAAATCCCATTCTACCATTTCTTAGCCTTACTCTTCTATGAAATAGGAATAACAACTACTTTTCCTGTTTTAAGGAGTAAATAATGAAGTAGGATCTAAGAAACTTCTGTTTCATAGTTAACATTCAGGTTACTTTCTTTTTTTCCTACCTCTTTGGATTGGAGATTCTATTATTTATCATATGCCAAAACCCTCCAGTCAAAGATTACTAGGTACACAATTGTAGTTGAAACAACTGGATTTATTATTGTTATACCATGGGAATCTGTGATGACAGTGTCTCAGGAATGTGTTTGGAAAGACCTACCCAAGAATTAGACCTTCTTTTAGGTAATTTTGGGGAGATTTTAAGGAAGTGGGGCTTTGCTCTGCATTTGGATTGTTAGTGGTGTTTGACATCATTAGGTATCATAATATATCTTATCTAGATGGGGGGAAGCTGAAGTCAGTAAAAATGCCAGAATAGAGAGAAGTTTATTTTTTTATTTATTTTTGATTTGGACAGTGTTCTTGATTTTGTCAGTATTTGGCTATAATTATGGATTGATCTTGTCCTGATTCCTCACTCACAGAGTTACTTTATCTCATTTGGTGTTTTGTGAAATTGTTTATGCTCAATAGGAGAACACCAAGATCTAGCTGTGTCAGGCTTGCTCTCCGTGTTGGTGGCACTGTTTCTCTTTTTTACATGCTTCAGCTTAAGTTGAAAAAATAATATTCTTCCTTCTCCCCTATGTGTCTATCTGTTAACTTTTCTTTCCCCAACTGCTATTATATGATAAGTCACATAAGATATTCTTTTAAATATTCATATAATGCAGAAGTATTCAGAGGAAAATGTAAAGGTCTCCATTCTCCCCACCCTCGCCCTCAAAGTAAACTGCTGCAGTTTTGTGGGCATCCTCCCAATCCCTTTCTATGTTCGTGCATCTATGTACAGATACATATACACATATATGTACATATATGTATATGTACACACAGATATAACCAATTCATGTTGTGTTTAACAGAAATGAATTAGTGCTATATATTTCCCCACAAGTTGATTTTTTTAAATTTGTTATGTTACATAAAGCTTTACACATCAGTACATACAGATATATAATTTTTAATAGCTATGTGATATTCCATAGTATGAATATACCATAGCTAGTGTGATCATTTAGGTTATTAACAATACTTACTATTATTAATTGTGTTGTGGTGATCATCCTTAACACACACTCTTGGCTTACAAGTTAGAACATTATTATGAAGAAAAATATTAAAAAGTGTGTACTCATAGGGTCTCCCTGGTGGCTCAAGGGGTTAAGACACAACCTATGAAGCTGTCCACAGCCACTGCAGCACGAGTTCGATCCCCAGCCAGGGAGCTACCCACATGGCACAGCAGACCTCTCCTGACTTGCCTGCTGCTCCCCTCCACAGTGTATTTCAGTCAATCCACCTGTTCTGCCTGTTCTGTTCTCCACTCTGTTTCTGGTGAATCCTCTCACCACCCCCCCACCTCTGGCCTGTACCCCAGTTCTTGTATGTGTAAATAAATAAGTCTTAAAAAAAAAAGTGTACTCATGTTAAGTATGTCAGATACTGCCATCCAAAAAAGACTGAAAAGTTACACTACCATCATCAGTGTGAATGCCCTTTCATTCTTGTATCTGTCAACACTTGATAGTATTGGTTTTTAAAAATGTTTCTTTATTGATAGGTGAGCCATTTTGGCTTCTATTTTTAATATCTGATTAATATGGTTTGTGTGCTTACTGCCCATTTTTATTTGTGAATTATCTATTGCAATTTTGTGAGATTGTCTTTTATTTTTTATTTCTTTGATGGTTTTATTTGTATGCTTCTGAATATTAGCTTCTTGACAAATTGTTATATTTTCTTCCAGTATCATTTATCTTTAACTTTATTTATGAATTTACTTAACTTCTCTGAGCCTTAGTTTTATACTTTGCAAACCAGGGATTGATGAGGATTTAGTGATGTGCTTGAAAGCATTGTTTTCACGTAAGGTTTTTGTGATATTATTTGAGAGTTCTCTGGTGATCTTACGTCCTTGACTTGAGAACTATGGATCTCAATTCTACTTGATGACACTAAATAAAAGTCACTGTTTTTGATGTCAGGTGTGAGCCTGATGAGTTATTACTTAATCATTGGTTTCTGATTGGGCTTCCTCTTCAGCCATGAGTTTACTCTGGCTTAAACATCAGGGCCCTTAAAGATGAATATATAGCTGAGGAGTTTAACTTTTATTACTCCTCAAACTATAAAGAAAGTCTTGAAAGGCATGCTAATGGTTGTTTTGTCTGTGTAGTGGTGTTATAGCTTTAATTTTCTTCCATATATTTGTATAAATATTTTGTAAGAATAACTAAAATGAACATGCACTTCTTTTATAATTAGAAGAATTAAACATAGATCTAAAGGTTATTTTTATAGAGGTGTAATATTTAAGACCTGGGAGGATTGAAGGTATTAAACATGAAAAAAGAATTCTCTCCCTCTTGCATTCTTCCTTTTTTCCTATAGGATTAAATAGATGCTTTTGAATTCACAGTAAGTTTTAGGGAGAAAATATAGATATTGTAGTGTATTGTTTTTCTCCTTTTTGATGTAATGTGTATTTTACATTTTCATTAATTTCAATGCTTTATTCATAGGATTTTCCTAGGGTAGAATTTTTGGGAGACAGTGTTTAATAGATTCATTGTGGTAGCATTTATTGAGTATCATTATATAAGATAATTTTGGGGGCACTAGCAGATAATACATGAACCCATTCCTCAGGAGATTAATTAGGAAATGGCTATGTAAATAATATCTGTAAGGCAAAATGAAATGCTATTAATTGAGTATGTTAGATGAGGGAACTAGGAAGAGAGATTTGAGTTAAACTTTAAAGGATAAGAACTGCAGTGGGTAAAAAATGGCATTTAAAAGGAAGAGTCATATCAGCATAGATCTAGACTTGTGACAGCCCATGATGACACTAATGGTTTGCTCATGTGGAGGTGAAGTGTGACAGATGAAATATTTATAAGACACTGACTTGTTCAGAGTTGTACCTGACAATATTAACTTTCTTGAATGCTTATAGTAAATAATCCCTTTTCACTGTATACATGTGGAAGGTCTATATCATAAAATATATGTTTTGGTTAAATAATTATTGAAATGAGTATTTTGAAATCTAACCATTTTATTGAAATCATGAGTGTATTGAAAAAAAGTTTTGGGAAAACTTTTCTAGGAGCACTGAGACCTGAAAACAGTCCTGAGACTTTACTGGGTCAAGGCCCTCCTCAGCAGCCTCCACCGCAGCATAGAGTACTTCAGCAGCTACAACAGGGAGATTGGAGATTGCAGCAACTTCATTTACAGCATCGTCATCCTCATCATCAGCAGCAACAGCATCAACTACTTCAGGATGCTTACATGCAGCAGGTAATTCTTTTGTTACACTCTTAGTCATGGAAGAAATGTTAGTTGTTGAATATCATTGAATTCTCTTTTTGTACATGGGTGCATTGAATTCTAGAGCTGAACAAATGCTTTGCTTCAATTTCCTCATTTTGAGGAATATTTATCATATTTGTATTCTGTGTTATATTTAAGAGGACTCTATTGAAATAGGTTGCATCATGGCTTTATGAAGCAAAGACTGTTCATCTGGGTCATTTGGCATCTAAAGTGAGCAGTACAATTTATGATGGGTATTCTCTGTTTCAGGTTGCATTTTGAGTTGAAATAAATAGGATAATATTGTTGGAAAGGTGATATTAAACTTTCAGAAGTTAGCATTATCTTACGTTTTTGTTTTTCATTTTTTGTTTTGGTTGGAATGTATGTATAGGGCTATAAGGGACATGAAAGAAGTTACCTTTAGTTTTGTTTTGTCTTTTGCCGTATTAGAATGTACAAATACCTAGTTTCACTAAACTATTTTACATTTAATGACTCACCATCATTCTTTCATCATTTCCCAAAATACTTTTGAGCCAGTTATATGCATGAAACTTTTTTATGAGTGTCTTCCTCCTTTGGTCTTAACTGACAGATCCAGAGGGTAGTAAGTAGGTGGTACAATTGGATGGCTGAAAGAAATTGGAAAGTAGATAGAGGAGAGTGGGAATTTGTTGTGGAGTCCTGGATACAAGTGATGTCAGAGGTTTTTGTCAGTTGGTAAATGGGTTTAGGTTTGGGTTTTTTCTAAACATCTTTATATTGTGCTAGAAGTGGAGTTAGTTAAATCTTCCATGTATCATTGATAATTTTGAAGCCAAAAACTATGTATGTATATATGCATGTATTTATATATGCGTGTACATGCATACACACAAACACTTGCATACCTACACACACACATAGTAAGTGATTGTAGCCGTTTTACATTGTTGTTTGGACTGCTGAGTTCTTAAATCATTGTTACAGTAAGATCAATACTTAAAAAAAGAGACTATGGCACAATAAAGGCATGAATAATATTGATGAGTTTGTTTTACTTATTGTAGTATCAACATGCAATACAACAGCAACAGATACTCCAACAACAGTTTTCATTGCATTCGGTATATCAGCCTCAACCTTCTGCATCACAGTATTCTACAATGGTAAGTATTATATGACTTCTAGATATTTCTCCCTGAGTATACTATACATTGTTGGAATTCACAGTTTTGATGGTATTATTCTGAATTTAATAATTAAAAGTCAATTCATCATAGTTAATTGAATTGTATTTAGTAAAAGCCAGTCATTTATTCTCAGGTAGTATTATATTGGGCTGAAATATAGTATGTGAAATTAACACATCATAATTGATACTATTTTTCACTTACAGACTAAGGGAAATGCTCTATTACCCATGATTTATTTGTCATATCTTTCTTTACTTCGGCAACTGTCTCTTGTATAGAAAACCTCAAAGGGAAATTGCATTTGCTTCAGAGGGTTGTTTGACTTCTGTTTTTTGAGTGACCACCAAACTGGTCCCTTTAAACTGTGCTATTGTCTTTTTTAAAAAATATTTTTATGAGCTTTTGTGAATCCTTTCAAGTGAACTTAGCTTCACAATTTCTTAAATTGATTTATTTCATCCTGTAGTTTCCTGGTACCAAGCTGCTGCTTCAGATATAAATTTTTTTTACAGGTTTCTGATTTTGTTGCCATTGTGAAAAGGAGGGACCATAGCAAGTAGATGGGATGCTGAGAGTGCTTTAGTAGCTTTGAGCATTGTTTTATATAGTGGCTTACCTTGTTTCAGATGCAGCAGTATCAACAGGCTTTCCTGCAGCAGCAGATGCTGGCTCAACATCAGCAGTCTCAGCCACAGGCATCACCTGAATATCTTACTTCCCCTCAAGAATTCTCACCAGCCTTAGCTTCCTATACTTCATCACAGCAAACTCGGATTGGAACTGTAATGGACCCCTCCTACACTGCTAATAGGCAAGTGTTTTTCAAATGAGTACAAAGGAAATTGTTAGGGAAGTGGATCTTTTAACTTGTAGAGTGGAGGCACTGTTTGTGCCTGAATGAATATAGAGTCCATCTCTCTGTTGAATCTCCTCTTTTCTCCTAGGAGTTTTCTCTTCTGATCCCTGTGTATGCAGCCCCTCCCTTCCTTTCATTTCTATCAGTTCATTTTACTAACTGCTATTTGCAGATAAGGTTTAGCATTATCCCACAACATTTAAAGCTAAGAAAATTATTGGCTTATCTGGTAAGATTCTCTTTGTAGGTTAAATAGAAATAAAGGCCTAAAAATTTACTTTCGTAGTTTATAAAATAACCTTGTAGACAAGTTAATTAGCTCTTTTCTACTTAGGTGATATTGCTTTCAATTAATTTGATTACTCAAAATGTATACTCATAAAGATCATCTAATTTGGTTTAATTTCAACAGACACACAATTTGTAATTTATTATTTCAGATGTGATACAGCAAGGTTATTGTTTCCATAGCATATAGTTGGGAAGCAGTTTATTTTGATTGTTTGGATACATTGATTGTTAGAGAGATTTTTTTCATGGATAGTTCATATCAAAAGCAATATAGTAAATTAAAGTGTGATGCAAATTTTCTTACATTTAGACTTTATATCAGGAATGCTTCAGGATTTTGTAGTTAGTATCTGTTAACCATTATGAATGTTTCTTCGTATTTTAGATACATAGAGTGAGTAGATAGCTGTTAGAACTTCAGTTATGGAACACTAAAGAAATTTTTATATAACAGTATTTTAGGTTATGAAACACTCGCTGGGAAAAGGTATCTACAAACTTTGGGTAGAGTTAGGCATGAGAAAGGGCAACATTAGTAGCATATTTTTCAGTGAGCTACTGAAAGACTTTTTATATAACATTATTTTAGGTTATGAAACACTAGCTGGGAAAAGTGTGTACAAACTTTTGGTAGAGTTAGGCATGAGAAAGGGCAACATTAGTAGCATGTTTTTCAGTGAGCATCTTGAAAGGGCTGAAATATGCAGGTTGCTGTAGTATACTTCCCGACTTCTGTGTTTGTGTGTGTGTGGGGGAGTTGAGTGAAAAACACAAATTGATTGATTTATTGAAGTTCTTTTGTATAGTAAGAATTAGGGTGCATGAATTTTGTAAGAGAAATATATCTTAGGTGGAGAGCAGGATATAAGATCAAAAGCTGGTTTAAAGTATTTGCCACACAGATATTTACCTGGTGTAGTTACAATATTTTGATTTACCCACATAGCTATTTTTACTTTAATTAACATTGTAGACAGTAAATTTAAGACATAATATTATATATTTTGAACAAATTGAAGTCTTAAAATATGAACTATGAAATATAAGCAGCAGCCTAATAAATTAAAAAAAGATGTAATTGAAAATAAGTCAGACTAAGAATAGAATAGTTTTAGTCTTTATTTTTTTAAATTAATTTTTTTATTTTTTACATCATTGTTCATTTTTAAACAATATTTGCTTCCCCAGGTATAGTCCCTATAGAATTTCCTTAACCATTGCACCTCTGTGCCATCACTATGGTTAGTCCCCTGTGCTCCTCTCTCTCTCCCTCTTTTCCCTCTTCCTCCTCCTTCCTACAGAATGGCTCTGGTTTATAATTGTCTGTTTTTGTTTTGTGGTGTTTTGTATTATTATTTTTTTACACTGATGTCTTATTTGGTTCCTCCTATATTCCATCTCTAAGTGAAATCATCTGATATTTTTCTTTTTCATTCTGACTTATTTCACTGAGCATAATTCCTTCTAGCTCCATCCATGTTGCAGCAAATGGCATGAGTTTATCTTTTTTGGTTGCCGAGTAATATTCCATTGTGTATATATCTATATCTTCTTGATCCAGTCATCTGTTTTTGGACATTTGGGTTGTTTCCAGGTTTTACCTAATATAAATAGTGCTTCAGTTAACATAGGGGTACAGGTATCCTTTTGAATCAATGTAATTTGTGTCCTTTAGGTAGATCCCTAGGAGTGGAATTGCTGGGTCTGATGGTATAGTTTTATTCTTCATTAAAGTGAGGATATTCTGCTTGATATTCCTTAGAGATACCAGTGACACTGTTTTATTAATTAGAAGCTTGATTTTTTTTTTTTACTCTTTATGTCAAATAGCATTAAAAATGTCAGTTATATCTAGTATATGTAGTTGCAAAGTGCAACTTTATATACATAAAGTTTATACAGCATATATACTTATGTATAGCTTGCATTGTAAACCAATTTCTAGAAATAAAGTAGTGTTGCAGTTGAGAGTGGAATGAATGATAGTTTGGAAATCCTGTATGAGAGAATTCACATTAATGTTCCATAGCATATTTACCATTAAAATTTCTGCTTAGTTACAAAGGAAGATGAGCATCTAAAGATTTAAGGCACACTTAGGCATGCAAGATGCTGAAACCTTAACTAATGTGAATTATCATAGGACTTCCTACTTAAATCTCAAACCTAGTGATATTATTTATAAATCATGGTGTGATATGTTAGATTAAATTTCCCGCCCCCGCCCCCAACTTCTGTGTAACTTTAAATCTCAAAAATTTGTTTATCATCAAAATCATCATGTATATCACCCAGTCTGGGAAATAAGGGGTTGGATTTTTGTGAAAGTGTTTTATCCTACTCCTGTGAAATTATGTATTAAGGGAGATTTGAATTTGGAGCAGGGAAAGTAATGATTCTATAGATTAAAAATAATTAAATACTAGGGTAATAGAAGTTAGGTACACAGGACTGCCCTCAAAAATACTAGTTCAGCCACACATGACACCTCAATGTTGTTATTCTTATTTAGTATTAAATCTTTACTAGTTATCTTTAATTAATTAATAATTTTCTTTACTGCTTTTCTTCCATAAATAAAATGATCTGCTTTTCTACACATTTGTAAAATATGAACTAGGGAGTTTTAATTTTTCAATACTAATTTTTTTTATTTTTTCCTCTCTTAATTATCATAGGTCAGTTGCTGATAAAGAGGCAGCTGCAAATATTACAAGTCAGAAGAACATCAGTAACCCACCTGATATGTCAGGGTGGAATCCTTTTGGAGAGGATAATTTCTCCAAGTTAACAGAAGAGGAACTGTTGGACAGAGAATTTGACCTTCTAAGATCAAGTAAGGGACACTTGAAGGCTTATTTTGCTTCACAGTAAAATAACAGTTCTCTAATTATTCAGCAAGGCCAAAGACTGTTTTCAGGTGGTGAATAGAAAATTCTTTTTGTGCATTTGAGGGCAAACATCAGACCATATTCTTTCATACATATAATATCAAGCTTGCTGTGTGCATTAGAAATCACTTGCTTGACGTAGTAGTTATTAAACCCAAGACTGTTGATAGTATCTAGATTCCTAATTCTTACATAATGCGTATCTTTGAATGTTAAATTCAGAATCTCTCTAAGACATGGAAAATTAATGTTCAAATAAAAAGAGGGAGACATTAGTATCTTGCCTTACTAATCATTTTGCATCTCTGTTTTCTTGCATACTCAATAGAAGATATTGTGGGTCTGAGATGCCCTTTGAAAGTGCCTGAAAGAAAATATGGGCTACTACATTATGTTAATGTTTTGTAATGCCCTTTTAATGAGTGGTGATATAAAAGCGCTGCTTTGTTGTCCTGATATGGAAAAAGTTAAATAAATTTTCTTTTCCACTTTAAATCAGATATCTCAATGTTTTTTACTTGGTATCATTGCATTTTCTTTAATGTATATTTCAGGTCTCACCATACATATTTTAGAGAAGTCCTATTTTGGGACAGGGATGTGTGAAGTGTTTTGGGGAGGTTGCAAAATAGGAACAAAAACTCACTGTTGGAGTGTAAGTTCTAGGTTCCTGAGATGTGTGTGTGTGCATATGCACATATATGTATGGTTTTCCCTTTTACATGTGAAAAGAAGATCTTAATGGACCCTAAGTTATAGTTCCTAGTTTCTGTTTTATTTTAGGTAACTGGCCTTGTGAGAATATATATTAATTAATACACCTTGTTCCAAACTGGTATATAATTCATGTAAAATTTATAAATGCACTGAATTGATGTAAGAATAGTTGTTTGGGATTTAAATTTCTATTTCACTTACTGGTTATGTGATTATGAAAAATTTAATTGATTATTAAATGCAGATATAAAGATGAATTTTAAGCCTTTAATAAAGGTTTGTTGACATTGGTAAAACCAATCTTGACAATTTGTTATTAAAAAATATTTTTTTAAACCTCAACTTTTTTTTTTTTGGCATTTCTCTTTGAATTGCCCCAAAAGTCAAGGCTTGGGAAATAAAAGTATCTCTCTTTTGGTGGGATGGCAAGGTTGACACAGGGGGGCAACCACATAATTATAATTTTTAGGACTATTTTTAAAGCAAAAGGTTTAAAGCAATAAGTATTTTTAAAATACTTACTTCATTATGTTCTCATCAGGATAGTAACTAAGGGTTTGCTAAATTAGTATTTTCTACTTGTTGGGTAAAAATTGTTTTTTAAAAAACATCAGTTTGTGGAATGGGTAAAGTATTCACATTATGCTGTGCCTCATAAAATGTTATCTGAGTTGCCTAGAATTTTAATAACACCAAAGTTTTATTTACATTGCATAATTGAGAATGGCAGATAAATATTCATGTATACATATCTGGTGTGTGTGATAACCTCTCTGAAAAGGTGTGAACTTGTTTCTCTGAATCATGTATAGTGTTGTAAACCAAGCTTACCTCAATTAAAAAGTAAAAATATTTGAGTTTAGCATGTAAAATTCTTCATTAGCTTATTTTGCTTTCAAACATCAAGGTCAGATAATGTGTGATGTGTGTTTGTATTTGTGCGTGCAGTATGTATGCTACAAAGAGTTCAGACTTCATTGCAGTGTTAATTATGGAATGATACTAGGTTCCAGTGAAAGCGCAGGAGGAACTTTATCTGAAGGTCAGACTTGGAGTAACTCAGCCATTTGGATAACCCTGTAGATAGTCCCTGGGCTATTGAAATCACTATTACGAGGCAGATGCTCTTAAATCATCACATTGCACTAGAAAATATGAATTCTCATTCCTCACAATGTCATTTAACTAGGTTGTAATCTCAGTGAAGTGACTTACGTGTTCCCTTGATTCCTCATTCATAGACTAGGCATAATGATGCTTACCTCGTAGGGTTATCAAGAAGATTAAATGAAATAATGTCTTTATAGCATCTGATCACCTAATAAAGGACACTTCCCAATTCCTCACATTTTAAATATACTTTTAGGGTTTGATTTTGAGGTTATTGGCTTTTAACCAGCATTTTAAAATGATACCTAAACTATCAGGGTTTTTAGCTGACAGATAAATAAACCAGGAGTTAGAAGGGGTTTTGTGGGAAAGCTCATTAACAGAAGTGACATTTTTTTGTCTGTTCCTATTTAAGACCGAAACATTAAATTAGAACTGAGATTTAGTAATAAAGCTGGTTTCAGTGCTATTTTTAAATTTAAGCTTGTATATTTCATTGTCTTTTGTACCAAAATATCCAGATTAGTATGTGAACTTCAGAAATTTAATTGTCATAATATTTAACACATTAAATACTAATTAGAATAGTTATTTAGGGAAATATTTTTTACTTACATTTGTGCAAATAATTGTGTAGCTCTCTATATGTTAATTAGAAATAATACTTATTGAAATTTTTTTTCTTGTTGATGGTGAGCTTGTTGTTTTTGTTTAAAATTGCATTGGAATAACCAAGAGGAAGAGAACTGCTTCGAAAAGTGTACTAAATGTGGTGTGTTTTTTTTTAACAGAACAAAATTGATCTGAACATTTGCATATATAGTTTGTTGTACAACATTAACTGTCACTGTTTTAAGCTAATTCAGGCCTTTTACTGTTCTTCAGTGCAGAATAATGAAACCAAATATAATAGAACAAGTTTTGAAAGTATCAAATGAAGACTGCACTTTTAAACTTTACTCATTAACCTTTGGCTGTTCAAGCCATTAGCCATGTAATTGCTGACTTAACTTTTAACAATACATTAATTTTCTGATATTATGGAATATACTGTTTCTAAGATTTTAAAATTATATATTTTGACATCTGTATCAATTAAAAATCTTAAAAAGATTGTTTTTATTTTATTCACTAACAATTCCTTTGAGAAGGCAGGTAGAGGTACTTTTTTTAAATATTGAATAAACCAAGCACAAGCATTGCTCAAACCAGTTATTTGAAAATGGAAATTAAATACATTTTAGGTGTGACTTGTATACGTATAAGAGAAGTAACTGCATTCCATTTCACTAGTTTTTATTTATGGGCAGTTGATAACCTTAAAAGTTAATGTGTAATTTATTTTGAATTTTGTACCCTGGGACTCCGATTATTATGTAAACTTTAGAGTTTTAAATGAATTTTTAAAAATCCTCTATGGAAAAATTGAGTCGATGTTTTGTGGTACAGTAAGAACATGATTTATTTTATATTGAGTTTATTTTGATTCCTGTTTTAAAATAAATGAATAAATGAACTTTGCCTATAATAGTGTCTCCATATCTTTAATTATGGGGATTCCCTGTTTAAAAATATGCTTACCTTTACATGGTAATGTTAATATTCTTATACCTACATGGTGCTGTTTATACATTTACCGTGGATTTATCATAGATTGATGTAAGATAATACTCCAGTGTATGAGCATTTCAAGAATCTTAGCACACAATAATTTTTAAAAACTGGGAATGATTTGTACAGTAGTAGTTTATAAACCTGGAGAGTATGTTATTACTTATATTCCTAGACCTCTATCTAGATAATCTCCTTCATTAGGTCTATGGCAGGGTCCAGGTAATAATATTTTATACAGAAATTCTGACAATTATAATGCAGATAGTTTAGGAAGGAAGTTTGGTCATACTTTAGATCTAAGCACCTGTGTATTTCCAGGATTCTGATATAAGAAATAATCCCTGGTTTTATTAGTTACTCTACAAATGCATTCAGGGCCTGATAGAATTGGTAACCGCAGGTACCAATTACTCAGTGATTCTTGGGCCCTTTCTTAAGGTTAGATTTTGACTTCCTATCACAGTAAATTGGTCATATAAATTATTCTGTAACTTTTTTTTTCAGAAAGAAGCTATGAGACTAGTTTCATTTGTAGGTGTTAGAAAAAACATGATGCAAAAAATTGTGATTTCAATCAGCATTTGTTGCTGATTTCTTGAATTAAGCATACATATAATATCATGAAAAATAACCCCTAGAATAAATCTTCATTGTTGTCCATTGAAATATTAGATTTGAAAATTAGCTCTTGGGTTTTGGAAGATTTGTGTAGAGATCAATTGTCATTTGTGTTGCCTTAAAAAAATACTTAGTAGTGCTTCAACAAAATTTTAAGTAAAAATTTTAAACAACCCAAGGCTTCATGTGGGTATTGTCGTTAGTTTTAGTCATGAAAGCTGATAATGTATCTGTTGTCATACAGGTTTTTAAAGACTTAGTTGTCATAGAAACAATCAAGTATATTTTGTATAATGTAGACTTTTGGGTTTTTACTTCTCAAGAAGGTGTTCCCTAGACCAACAGTTATTATTTCACTTGGGAGCTTGTCCAACTGCAAAATCTCAGGATATATCCCAGACCCATCCAATCAGAATCTGCATTTTAACAAACTCACAGGTGTAGGGATCTGCATTAAATTTGAAGAGCACTGTGCTGTTAGATTGTTGCATTAACTTTGGGCTTTTGATTCCCTCTGAAGTTATGAGTTGTTTTTAGAGAAATATATTTGGTTTCTTCCACCCCACCCAGCAATTCCTTACAAAGCAGGTAAGACCAGTGTAGTTTACCCATAAATTTCCTTATACATGGAAGATTTAGTTCTGGGAATGCCTAAAATAATCTGGAAAGGCAGAATGGGTCCTTAGAGTAAAGTTTGATTGCTAAGAATTAGAATAGAGAGACATCTTGCAAAAGTCAGCAAGTTCTCTACTGATAAAGTGATTATTATGTACAGAGTTTAAAAACGGGAAAAGACAATCCTTGCTAGGGAATTAGGATACTTCAAATCTTTAGACACACAAGGCCTGCTCCTACATTAGAGCCTTTACTTTCAATCTTCCTTGATTTGGCATGTTTTTCCACAGGTATACACCCCTGCTTTCTTCAAGTCTCACCTGTAACTATTAGAACTACTCTTGCAACTTGTGCCTACTCCTTTAATTCCTTTTACCCTATGCCTCATTTTTCTTTTTTAAAGATTTATTTATTTATGATTTTCCCCCAAAAAATGGATTTCCCAAAATATCCATTTTTGGGGGAGAAAATCTGCTAAATATGTCTACTTAGTAAGTTGGATTTAAGTTGAGGTTCAGTGTGTTTCAAGGGAAGGCAACTGGTATTTAAATAAACCAAACTATTTATTAGGCTAAAAACCTAGTACTGTGATTACATAGTTAAACTTACCCTTGTAGCAGTAAATATATTTTAAAATCAGGACTACCTCCTAGTATTTATAAAAATGAGCTCTGAATCTAATGCTTTCCAAGAGGGCTGTTGCTGTGTATAATTTTCACTTTTATTTATACTGTATACCACTTGTTAAAATTTAAAGACCATTTTGTTTTTATTTTATTTTTTTTTGTTTTGTTTCATCTTATTTTTGCAGACAGACTGGATGAGAACGCATCCTCAGATAAGAATGTAGACCCACTTTCTGCTTCACATAACCATCCTCCAGAAGATCTTTTTGGTTCTGTTCCTTTCATTTCTCACTCAGGCAAGTTACATATGTAACATCATTCATAAAAAATACATACAAGAACAACAACCACCAAAATAATAACCTTTGTATTAATACAAAGCCAGAGTAAGAATCAGAAGTTATTCATAGAAAACAGTAAGAAAATTAAGACCTTTAGCCATACTACTCTTCCCAGTGTTCTTCTTTCTGTTGGGTTATTCAGTTGTGCCTTTTTGCCAAAATAGAAAAATCCTTATTTATATAATAGAACTTAAATTGTTTCTTTTTACCTTTAGTATTGGATACTACTGAAAAAATTCTTGAATAAGAATATTTCTCCCTTTGACATATTTCAGATGCAATTAAAGATATTTTTATACTTAGCTTTTGCTTAAAAGTCTGGCATTTTCTGGTTTATACAAACTTATTATATACAAACTTTCTTTTAACTGATTTTATAAGTATTAGTAATTTTGTATTTGTCACAATTATTTCGTTTTGCCTACTCATTCTTAACATTCTTGATTTTGATTTTAACCCAGAATTTAAAAATTATTTTCCAGTTTTAAAGAATATTTTTGGTAATATTTTCTAAGTAATTGTTGTCTATTAACATTATATAGAAGATATATGGAGAAGATAATATATATTTTTTGTAATATTTTCAAAGTAATTGCTGTCTATTAATATTATATAAAAGATAATAGACTAGAGAAGGATCCCACCTTGGTATAACGAATTTGTTGTGTGTATGGTTACTGTGGGAAAAAAAAAAATCAATTTTAATCTTGGTAAGGGAAACATGTTGGAAGAAATCATGCTTTGTTATAAGATACAGGTTATAAGATAAAGTTTTTGTTTAATACAGTCAAGGTAACTGTCAGTTGTATTCTTTGGATCTGTTCCTTTTATTTCTCACTCAAGCAAGTTACATATGTAACATCTCTGCCATTTAAAAAATATATGCAAGAACAACAACAAAAACATGAATGTGAGGTCAAAATAAGAATTAGGTTTTCATGATGTCAGATTAATACATCATGGTAGTGTTCTAGCTTTTCAAGGTTTATACTTGGTTATCTAGAATAAATAGTGTAGCAATTAAGATTGTTTCTCTCATCTGAGAGAATATGCTGTCATGTTCTATGATTTTATTGTGTAATTTATTGAATGCTGTTATTGCTGTTTTCTGCTTGTTTCCTTCAAGTTATCTTTTCATGACTGATGTGTCATCATAAACTAAAACTTACCGTGCTTACTTAATCTGCATAGATGTGCCCTCTCACACCCCCACTACTGTAGGTTACAAAAGTGTTGTTGCTTTAAAAAAAAAGATCTCAAAATAGTCTATAAGTACTCAAGAACATAATACTCAGTGACTTTGGATATTGATCTGATGTGGTAAGAAGCAGTTTCAGTACTAGCTCTTTTTCATACTCTAGAAGCAGTTGCATGATCCTTTTCAGGTTTGCACATACCTATGAATTTCTCTGTTCTGTGTAGTTTCTAAAAATGAGCCTTGGGGAAATGAATAATGAAGTTGGAAAACAGAGTAACCTCAATGACTGTCCTTTCCTTGGGAACTCTTGTTGTGGGGTAGACCTAAGATTTTTGTAGTTAGAAATATGATCACATATTTGAGCTTGTTTAGCTTCTTTATTTGATCTTAAATTTACTGAGGGTTGAAAGCTTGAATTGTCTCTGTTTGAATCTTGACTAGTAACCAAACCAATGTTTATGTAATATTTATTGATGTATGGAAAACATATGACTCCCTAAAAATTCTTACTTCTTTTTGTTAGAATAACAACCTTTAAAAATATCCTTTGATGTAAATGCTCCTCAAAAAAACAGTTTTATGTTTAGTGTGCACATGAACATTGGAGTGGTTTGGTGATGAAAAACTGAGTACATAGACTAGGATAAAGAATGAAACAATCATAGGAGAAATATGCCTCCAGAGAGAGGAGAAATGGTGATCTGTTTGCTATATTAGTACTGTTAATTTTTTTATTATAATAAAATAATTTAAAACTTCAAATATAATTATAAATTTCATATTATCTTAGTCATTATTTTAAATTTTATTAATCAGATCCAAAATACATACATTTTAAACAGCTAAAAATGACTTAGTGCTACTAGCCTACTCATTATAAAGCTTAGAAATGCTATGCCATACATTAGTTTCCATAAGCTTCAGGGAAAATCTGAGGAAAGAAAAAGGAATTCTATTCAATGAAAATACATTCTGCATAGCATTATGAAATTTAAAAGCATTTGAAACCTCAAATATAGACTAGGAGGGAAGATAGGCAAGAGATTAATCCTAAGTACATGTGTGTATGTATAATACAGAATGATATGTGCATGTGATAAGGCATCATACTTGAATCTGAGAGTTGTCAATTAGAGAATATAATTTAGTTTTAGGTAAACCATGCAGAGAATGCTACTTGAGAATAAAAGGAGTGCAATTGTAAGATAGAATGCTGTAACACTTTTTTTTTTAAACTTTGGCTCTTCTCTTTAATTCAGGCTAGTTTTTTTTTTTAAAAGATTTATTTATTTATACAAGAACTGGGGTACAGGCCAGATGTGCGGGAGGGTGAGAGGATTCACCAGAGACAGAGTGGGGAACAGAACAGGCAGACTGACTGAAATACACTGCTGAGGGGAGCAGTGGGTGAGACAGGTGAGGTCTGCTGTGCCATGTGAGTATCTCACCGGCCGGCTGGGATCGAACCTGCGCTGTAGAGGCTGCGGACAGCTTCACAGCGTGGGTCTCAACCACCTGCGCCACCAGTGGAGACCCAAGAATTTGAGTTTTAAGTGTACTGCTAAAGTGTATTTAAAAAGAATTATTGTCTTCCAATCATGTGTTCCTTATGCTGGTTTTATTAGGAGTGGCTCTTTTCATTTGGGGGGAAAATTGTTAAAACATTTAATTGCAACTATGAAATTATAATGGATTAGTTCTTTGTTTTTCTTTGGTTTGATGATTTTACAAATTATTTATAAACTAAAATTTTTAAATTAGAATAATGTACATATGTATCATACTTTAAAAAGTCATAAATCTTAGGAGTTTTATACTAAAAAAACATCATTTCCCTGCCTGTCTCCTCCCTGTCACTTTTTCCACTTTTGACATTTTGGTATGGCAGTTTTTGTACTTTTGGCATTTCAGTGTATCATGTTTATTGTGCTACTTCTTATGCTTTCAGGTTTAGATAATACTGTCCAATAATGGAGAAGAGAACTTAGATTAGTTACATTGTTTGACCCTCCCCACCCCAATCCCAAGACCAGTATAATTTTGACTAGCTGTTGGTGGCCAGTGTTTAATGCAATATGTTCACGTTTGTGAATATAATTATTTGTCATCACTGAAGTCTAGTATATCAGGATTACATATCCTCTTTTGTATAAAATTTTAGCTGTCCTAGATTTAATTTTTGTGTTTATAAAAAGGATTGTGCTTCATTTTTTTTTATGTACCCTTTCATTGATATATCTCCATGTAGAAGTGTAAATTGCCTCCCAATTTAAGATGCCTGTTATTTTCACTTTTACTTTGTTAACATCTTTCATTGAGCTCTGCAATCTCTGTTGATTGCTTTCTGTGTCTGTCAACATACTTATCATCCTTGTATTTTCTTTTACCTTTCAATATTCCCGGGATTTCCTAGACTTCATTTTTGCTTCGTTGGTAGAGCAACTTTTGTAGTAGTTTCTTTTCTTTTCTTTTCTTTTTTTTAAGATTTATTTTTATTTATTTATACAAGCACTGGGTACAGTCAGAAGCGCGGGAGGGTGAGAAAATTCACCAGAGCCAGAGCGGGGAGCAGAACAGGCAGGACTGAAGCACACTGCTGAGAGGAGCAGCGGGCGGCAGGAGAGGTCTGCGCGCCATGTGGGACCCTCCTCCAGTGGCCAGGGAGCAGCCTGGGATCGTACCGGTGCTGCAGAGGCTGAGGGCAGCTTTGCAGCCCAGCGCTCACCCGCTGCGCCACCAGGGAGGCCCTGTAGTAGTTTCTTGAGAACATATGCATGGGAAGAAAAATTTTAAACTTTCTTGCCTGAAACATCTTTTTTCTCTTTAAACTGACACTTAATTGATAATTTGGCTGCATAAGTTTATATTGGACATATTTTTCTGAAGAGTTTTTGAGGCACTGCTTTAATGTATTATAGATTCTAGTATTCCTGATCACATACCATTCTTAATCCTTTTCTTTTATATATATCCAGTGCTGTTCTTAACACATTTATTAATGGAAACTGGTATATGGAAGGGGGGTTATAGCTCAGTCTTTTATCAAACAATATTCAACACCATTATTCTTTAATTTTATATGGATACAGTTTTTAATTAGCTGCTATCATAGTGTGCTATTAATTCCCTGCCCCATTCATATGAATCCTTAATTTGTCTGCTGTCAAGATTATAGTTGTTTTTCATTTTACCCACACCAATTATCCTGATGTCACTACCAGAGATAGAATATAGCCAATGAGCGAAATTTGGCAGTTTGGTAGTTTCTGTACAAATGCCTTTGCTATATTCTGATAAAATAGTCAAGGTATTTGTATTGTAAAAGATAAATATTTGCAAGTTATGAGTATATTCTTAAAGTCAGGATTCAGTCTGAGCTCCATTCTTTATTAGCTGTGTGACCCAGATAGATGACCTCGTCCTGTGTATATCTGTTGTTTCATCCATAAAATGGGGACAATATTAGCACGTATTACTTAATGATATTTACTTTTTCCTTAGTGATTAATAGGAAAACTTTATTTTTGGCCTGTAAGACTTGCACTTCTACTGTGCCTTAACAAATTCACATCAACATCATATTTTAACAATGTAAATTATATAACATGGTATATTTGCCCATGTATTTCAGCAGCAATTCTTTTTAAATTTATTTATTTAGTGGTAACATTAGTTTACAACACTCTGTGATTCAGAGGCATAGGATCACACCTCTAATAAGAAACTATTTGTTAAACTTGTGAAAAGTACCTGGCAT